GATTACAATTGCCCCACATTATTACTATAGAAAAAACGTGAATAACATATTCTCATCTTTATATTTTGGATGGCAAGGAAACTTAATGGTCGGTAAACAAAATTAGAGTTGACTTATCTCAAATTTAAGGCTTTCAGCGACACGGCAGGATTTTGGTCACAAAACTAGAGATCTTATGGTTATATATTTCTATTATATACGTACCAAAAACATTTTTTTGTCACCAGAAGACTCCATATATTATTGAAAACTTTTTCAGCCAAGCACAAACAGAGAACTTTGAAACTGAAAGAACTAACAGAACATCAATTTTCTAATTTGAAAGGAAAACTAGATGTTATCAACAAGGTTATAACTTGCCGTTGCGAGGATCTTCTTCTTCGCAACGCTTCTCAGGTGGCTTGATGGTCGAAAAGTTTGTGCGGCGGCAGCTCTTCTCAAAATTAAGTTCTCGGTTTAACCCGGTCTGTCAACTTCGTTAGTTCGTTTTCGGATAACTTTGAGGTTATGCCCATTTGTGAATTTGAGGTTAGGCCCATTTGGAAATTTATTGGAATGGCCATTGTAATCCCAAATCAGATAACTTTCAAATCCATCTTCGATTCGGTTGTTAGTCTTCATATATGCTGAATTGTTCTGTTTTGCTTCATCCAATTTTGGGAGTTGGGCTTTTGTGCTGCATTGCTACTATTGTTGCGATTGTGATATGATAGCTTTGCAATAATCAATCGGTTTTGTTCAGTTGAGTTTATTGATTTTCCTTTTGTGAATCATATTTAATTTGTACAGAGACATATGTTCTCTGCAAAGTAGAGTTTAAAAGTGAAGAGAGATAGAAAAAATCTCAACTTTAATATGCAATGGACGACTCCGGTTGCTGTCGCAACCACCGCCGAAGCGGAATGGAATCACACCGTCGAAGTCTGTGGTCACCGGCGGCGGAACCGCCGTCAAATTCGAGCTTTAAGGGAATTTCTTTGTTTCAGTTTTGACATAAAAAGATTTGGAAAAATTGTAATTTTCTGCCAAAAGCGGAAAACACCCATCTCAAGAAGTGAATCGGTTTTTTACGCAAAATATAATTTGGCGATTTTGACAGAAAAATACAATTTTTTGGTTTTATTAAGAAAAACACAAATAATTTTTCTCGAGGAAGTTTTCGATTTTAGCAGGAATATAATATTTTTTTTGGTTTTGGTAAGAGAATGTAATTTTCAGTTTTGGTGGAAAACCATAATTTCTCAGTTATAGCGAGAAAATACGATTTTTCGGATTTGGCGGAAAACTGTATTTTTTTTATTTTGGAAGGAAAACAGAAAAAAATCAATTTTGACGGGAAAACAAAATATTTTAGTTTTGACGGAAAAATACGATTTCTTGGTCTTGATGGGAAATGCAACTTTTCGGTTTCGATGGGAAATGAAAATTTTGAGTTGACGGATAATACGATTTCTTGGTTTTCGTGAAAAATGCGATTTTTTAGTTTTTTGGGAAAATACAATTTGAAGATTTTGGCAGAAAATGCAATTTTTCGGTTTGATGGAAAAATAAAAATTCTCAGTTTTTGGTGGGAATAAGCTGTTTCTCGATTTTAATGGAAATGCAAATTTTCATTTTTGAAAGGTAATGTGATTTCTTTGTTTTCCTGGGAAAATATGATTTCTTAGTCTTTGCGGAAGAATTCAGTTTTGGCTAGGTAATACAATTTTTGGTTTTCCTGAAAAAATATAATTTCTCGGTTTTTGTGGGAAAACGTAAATCTTGGTTTGACGAGAAAATGAAATTTCTTGATTTTGGCGGGAATAAGTGATTTCTCAGTTTTCGCAAAAATAGAATTTTTTTGTTTTGTCGGAAAATTTTTTTTTCTAGTTATTGCATGAAGATAAAAGTTTTTGGTTTTAATGAGAGAACATAATTTTTCGGTTTTGGAAGAAAACACAGGTTCTCGCGGAAAAATGTGGTTTTTGGTTTTTGCGGGAAAATGCAATTTCTTGGTTTTGGTGGAGAAATAAAATCTTGGTTTGACAAGAAAGTAAAATTTTCTTGGTTTTGGCGGGAATAGACAATTTCTCAGTTTTCGTGGAAAAATAATTTTTTTGTTTAAACAGGAAATGTGATTTTTCAGTATTTGTAAGAAGATAAAATTTCTTGGTGGTAAAATTCTAAGTTACCATATATTTATAGTAACCAAAATTTAATTATTTAACTTCTGCTAAATCGATATTTCAACAGTTTAAACATAATTTTCTATTTAGTTCTAAAGCAATAACAATGGTTTCGATATGAATGTTATTGATTATAGTTTGGTAGTTTTAGAAACATATATTTATAAAAAAAATTGATAAATAAATAAATTTTATAATTCAAAAAATAATATTAATTAATATTTTTTTAAATGATATTTTGGTTTATATAATTATAAGAGAGGATCAAGTGGCAATTTAATGGAAAAAATAGATTATATTTGTCATTGACATGAAGGTATTTAAAAATATATTATATTTTTTTTTATATACATTTATAATTAGTTAAACAAATTTGATAGAAAATTACAATTTGAAAAAATAAAAAGGATATACAATGTTTATTTATATTTAAAACATATAAATACATAACTTAAGATAATAGAATAAATAAATATAATATTCTTTTACATTGTAAAATTATATTAAATATATATATAATTTAGAAAAATATCCTGCAGCGTAGTGCAGATAAATATCTAGTAAAAATAATTTTGAAAACCATGTATAAACAAAAGAAAAAAACATAAATAGTTACTGTTCTGCCGTCCATCCATCTTTGTCATCACATAGTCTTTGCCATCAGACTCTAATAAATTCTCAGAATAGTTCATAAGCTCCGCATTCTAACACCGCATCCATCCATCACATAGTCTTTTGCCATCCATTTGTCTTATAAAGATTATTAGATAATACAAAAAAAAGATGATATTTTCTATGGATATATAATTTGCACCGTCCAACTAAAACAATACATTTGATTTTGGTATCAGAACCAGTATCGAAGTTTTTTTTTGGGTCAACGAATCCAAATAAATTATATACTACATGTCAATTTATTGGTTTAACTAAAAGAAACTAAAAACAAAATTATGGGATTTTGGTGGACCATTTAATTTGAATGCTACACATATAAGACGTCTCTGTGAATTTCGGCCCATGAATCAATCCAATCTAACGGTCATGTGACCGTCCAAATTTTGTTTATATATTTTCATAATTATGGAACTTTCGTTTTTTTTATACGTAAAGAATACGATAAAGTTGATTAATACACGAACTCTAATACTGTACTAATTCACACTCTAATAGTATATTTTGCACAATTTATATTCGCAGTTTTAAAAAATGGTTTAATCATATATTTATACAACAGTGTTAGTTTAGACGTTAATTTTTGTTGATTGGAATGACACGTTATAAATGACGTTGTTTATGGTTTGTTCCACTCCTATGTGGCTTCTGGATATCCTGTATGGTTAGGTGAATTTTTTGATGCAGAATATGTGGTATTACCTCGATGTAATATCTAGTTTTAACGTCTGTTGCTTTTTTTTTTTTTTTTTTTAGCTTCTGGACAACTCAAACTTTGGTTCTTGTCTATATGTTTCAGGAGTTGTTGGTTTGCTTTTAGGGGTTTTGGGTCGTTTGTGGGCCTTATCATATCTGCAATATGTTTGATCTTCTGAGTAATATATAATCTTTCAGTTGGCCCAAATTGTTTTTTTTTACGAAAACGATGTCGTACTTTAAATTATTGAAATAAAAAACAAACTGCAAAATGAAACCCATGACTTGAAGGAGTAAACCACTAGAACAGAACCAACCGTACCAGATGGCACCGATTACACGAAGACTTGTGCATTTGAAGGCGAATTCCTTTTCCGATGAATCTAAGCACAACAGAACTTCAAACACTTCCGATTCGCAAAATCAGGTACCACATTCGAAGATGGAACACAATCTGGATGTGAATCAGTTAGGTTATCGGTATGTGATGATGGAGAATCGTGATACTCGAAGCCCCAGTTTTCAATGGAAGAATGCAATATGGTTGGATGAGACATAATTGTTGCAGAAGATGGAATCACCAATTGTGTTTGTAATGGTCCTGTCTTTGTAAAAATGATGGACACATGCTTCTTTGACAACCTGGCTTCATTGGAGGAGAGAAATCTGATGCCTTCTGTGTCCATCAATATAAGAATCCTGAAGCCGAATTGTGCACAGCTTTTGAGAGAGTTTGTCTTTCAAGAAAGAAATCTTCAGCACTAGGAAAAAGCAGCGAAAGTGCTTTAAATCCTGAAGGCTCATCAAGTCTAAAAACAGGGCGAAGCCAAGAGAATTAGTCAAAGACAAACTATATTTTGAGGGTTTAAGGGAAGAGGAGGGAAAATCAAGTTCAAACACAGAGCAGTCACAGGAGACTTACAACCTACTTTGGAATGTGTTCAAGGTACGCAAATGGCAGACCAGTTGCTCGATGAAGAAGGTTGATTGTGAGAGGAGACTGTGAAGTCTTGAGGCTATTACTAGAGAGAGAGAGAGGATTCTTGAGTTGAGATATCGGATTTATCAGCTTTTTTGTATCTTTCAATTCAAATCGTTGTTCTCTGTTCTTCATACAATCGATTGGGATAATTAGTTAATGGTTGATGTTTAAGTTTTCATTGTCTCAATCTTAACATCATCATAATTACTTTTCAACTCTTAGAGACGGAGAAGAGTCTTTCTATGCTGGATAGCTAATAACACATTGTTTCACTTATTGATGGATCTTTGCAAAGACCTAGTGTCGATGGTCCGTATTACAAAATTTGGAGCGGATGCAATATTATGGATTTCGAATTGTGTTTTCGAGGGATAAGCAAAGCAAAAACAAAATACATATTAGAGTCACAAACCAAGTTCTCACTCCTCCTTACTCAAACAATGTCAGATTGTGATGATCAAAGCAAAAGCAAAATACATATTGGAGTCACAAACCAAGTTCATAAATGATCCGACTGTAATGATCAAAACAAAAGCAAAAGCAACAGCAAAATACATATTGGAGTCACAAACCAAGTTCTCCCTCCTTCTTACTCAAACAATGTCGTCCATACTCCAATCTGGGACTTCACTGCGGTTGTTGTTGATCACCAACTGCTCATTTACTTTATAGTTGGCCATTGAAGACTTCTTTTTGTTTCTTCTTCCAATGAAATGTGTCGCATTCACCGTAAGTTTTTCCACAAACATCTACAAAGAAGAAAAAAACAATCTCATGCTTAACGATTGGTAATTAGAATAATATAAAACAAAGATTAATTGTTTCCTTACTTCAACTTCGTCGATCTCAACTTCGTCGCCAACGTCAAATGGATGTCTGATGTACAAGAGTTGCAGGGAGAAATATGTCTCCTTAAAAACCTGTCCAGCAAAGTAAGTGACGACAAAGCTACTAACGCTTAAGGCCATCAGAAATTTGACTCCGCCCCATCGTAGCAGTGGGATCGCAAGAGCAGCAAGCACCATCGCAAAGGCAATGCTGAAAATGATGTCAATTTTGTTGGATGCTGCGTCCATGTCTCTCAGCGACAAGATAAGGTTTCTATGTCGTTTGAAAGAGTGCACCTACAACATCATGACTTACATATTAAACAAAAGTTAGACTAACGTTTGTGCTTAAGTTCGAAAGTTGATGAATCTGTACCATCCATTCCTGCAGGGATAACAAACTGATTTGGATGTTCTCATCATCCTCATATGTTCTCCGGAAGAGTTTCAAAAACTTCAAAGCCTCATAGTTAGGAAGGAATGGCTTGAGATCTTCCAACCCAATAAACCTAAACATAGAATTTCAATCATGATTTTCAAAAATATATATTCATCATAAGTACCAAATGAGATGAAACTTACTTTGATGATGGATCTGCCACGTTCTGGAATATTTTTACTGCTTCACTTCTCGCATCTGATTCAGTTTGTATTCTAGTCGCTAGACAATTCCTTTTTCCCATCATCATCTTCTTCAATAACCATGATGGTTTTCCATGTGGATTAAACTTCTGTAAACCATGTAGACCCAGAGCTGTGTAGTAGGAACTCAGATGAACCACTGGGAGACCTGACAGAACCTCCAGCACATACCCATAGAAAAGACTCTCCAAAATCTTCTCATGGTATGCACTCATATGAAACCATGCCGCCAATGACATTACCGAAACAGATTTCATAGCCCATAAAGACAAAAAAATCGCACAGCTGATGAGAAACTTGTCAATGGCTATCAGCACCTGATTCCGCAAAATGACCTCTAGATGTCCGAACACAATCCACCAAGCAGTTACGACTAGCCATGCTACCAGACTTCTTCTGACCATGTGTTGTATCTTATACACAACATAGAGAAAACGGTTACAAGAGCGAAATCGGATGTGCAAATGGCACACGATCACTCTAACCATGGTTCCACAAGCAAGCCTTGAACCTGTCACCAGCAACACAGACAATTCCCACTTCCACAAACAGTTTCCCCAAATCACCTTCTCTCGCAAGTAACTTATAGCCAATGTTAAAGCTAACAGCACACTGATTGCCGCTACAAAAACCCATTTCAAGTAGCTACAAACAGAAAATCTCTTCTTTTCTTCATCAACTACTAATTGGCTCTCATCAAACTCATCTAACCGGGAACGGTTCTTCCGGTAAAGAAAGCTAAAATCGTACATTCTTCTCTCTTGCGTAGCTGTTTGATGAATACCAAAAAAGTTACAAAGAAGAATCGGATGATCGTAACTTAGTAGCTATTTACTTCTTCTTTTTCTTCTGTTTAAAAAAATCATCCGATTCCAACACATTAATTTAAAAAAAACTAGGTAGGTAGAAGAGAGTTGTATCATAAATACAAGTATTTATGGATGGTTCATGTTAGCAGAGAGAAAAGTTGTAATGAATCTCTCTCATTCTTTGTTCGCTCGAGTTATTTTTGAAAGAAAACTAGTTTCGATTTCTTCTTCATTTTTGGTTCAATTCTAGTTCCAATGGAGTTAAACTGGTTCGGTTTAGTCCAATCTAGTTTTTCTAATTTATTATTATTTCTAATTATATGTTTTCTACATTTGGTGGGCTACTGGTTTTTCATCTTCTCCGATAAAATAATAATTGAGTGGTTGCTTGAGTTGACTGGTTTTTGAAACCAAAATAAATTTAATGAGTAGTTTACCTTTTAACATGTATTTTGTCCAAAATACTCAAATCCTGAAACTCGAACTCCCAAGTTCACAAGAATTACCAATGACATGATAAACCAATTATGCTAATTGAACTATTCGATATATTGTGAAACCGAAGCGTATATATCACCAAAATAACTATTTATCAATCAAGGAAATTATATAAATTGATCAATAGTCAAATTATCAACTATGATAAAATATCTTGTTTTCGAATAATTATAATCTAACAAATGAGGTAACTACTGTTTATGGGGATGATATTTGAAAATGAGTCTTCTTCATATATGCATTCCTCTTGCACACACACACACACAAAAGTGTGCATAAAAATGAAATAAACATAGTAAAAACTTATATTTTAGCAAGATAAACATCGAATAACTGCCAATCAAATTGTTTCAACTAACGAATCAAAGCTAAATCAACCATTTAAGGAAACTATATGAAATTAATGTATATTACTCAGATTATCAATTAGGACAGATAGTCTTTGTTTTCAGATAAGATAATTCAGGAGTATTTTGGATAAGATCACTATGGACTTATAGTGATGTCAGTGAATAAAATGGTAAAATTAACATGTTACACCATAAGATCGCAGAATCATGTTTTTTTCTCTTAGTTTATGTTTAATATTTCTCATTTATTTTGTTTTCACCTCTAATCATAATTTCTTTATCGTATTTTTTACAATCTGTTTCTACTTACTCCAGTTTTTTGGGTCAAATTTACACCTCTTTTTAAGTAATTGTTTTTACTAGGTATTTACCTGCGCAACGCTGCGGATATTTTTATAAATTTTGTATATATTTTTAATATACTAAAATTAGTTTTATAATGTAAATAAATATTATATATATTTTTAAAAGCTTAAGTTATGTATTTATATGTTTTAAATCTGAATAGACATTATATTTTTAATATTTAATTTTTCAAAATTATAATTTACTATTAAATTTATTTAGCTAACTAATTATTAATGTATATGTAAGAATAAAACAATACACATTTAGTACCTTTATGCTAATGGCAAATATAATATATTTTCTCCAATAAATTGACATTTGATCCTCTTTTATAATTATATAAAGCAAAATTTCATTTTAAAAAAGATTTATTAATTAATATGATTACCGGGAATTATAAAATTTATTTATTTATCAAATATTTATTATAAACATATGTTTCTAAAACTACTAAATTACAATCAAAAACATTCATATCAAAACCATTGTTATTGGTTTAGAACTAAATAGAAGATTATGTTTGAACTGTTGAGATATTGTTTTAGTTAAAGTTAAATAATTAAATTTTGGTTATTGTAAACATACTTTTACTTGAAAATTTAGCATAGAGAAATTTCATCTTCTTACAAAAACCGAAAAATCACATTTCTTGTCTAACAAAAAAAAATTATTTTCTCATGAAACTAAGAAATCGCATATTCCCGCCAAAACCTAAAATTTCATTTTTCCGTGAAAACTTGTGTGTTTTTCGCCAAAACCGAGAAATCACGTTTTTTCACTAAAACCAAAAAAATTTATCTTCGTGCAAAAACAAAAAAAAAATGTATTTTTCCGTAAAAACCAAAGAAATTATTTTCCTGCAAAAACCGAGAAATCGTCTATTCCCGCCAAAACCAAAAAATTCATTTTCTCGTCAAACCAAGAATCACGCTTTCCTACCAAAACAGATAAAGTACAATTTTCTGCGAAAACCAAAAATTGCTTTAACTCTCGAGAAATTGTGTTTTCTCGCGAAAATTAAGAAATTGTATTTTTCCGCGAAAACCGAAAAATCACATTATTCGTCAAAAACTGAAAATTTGCATTTGCCATCTTAACTGAGAAATTGTTTATTCCCGCCGAAAGCGAGAAATGTTGTTTTCCCGTCAAACCGAAAAATTGCTTTTCCGCCAAATTATCAAATTACAATTTTCCGCGAAAACTAATAAATCATATTTTTGCGTGAAAACCAAGAATTAACACTATCCGTCAAAAGTCAAAATTTGCATTTCCTAACGAAACTGAGAACTCGCATTTTTTGTCAAAATTGAAAAGTTGCATTTCCCATCAAAACCAAAAAAATCATATTTTTTCGTCAAAACTAAGATATTTTATTTTCCCGTCAAAATTAATTTTTTTTTGTTTTCTCACCAAAACAAAAAATTAACATTTTCCCGCCAAACCCGAGAATTTGCTTTTTTCGCCATAACTGAGAAATTATGTTTTGCTACCAAAAATGAAAATCATATTTTCCTACCGAAATCAAGAAATCCCCTATTTCCAGCAAAACAGAGAAAATTCTTATTCCTGCCAAAGCAAAAAAAAATTGTTTTCTCGTCGAAGCATAGTTGATGCTGAGTCTACACTTTTTGAATCATATTTGTTTCTGTCAAACAAACAGATAGCTAGAATTTTTTTATTATTATTATTTGTTTGTTGTTATTTATTATTTGGGTTTCAAAAAAATAAAACAAAGATTTATTTTTTTGTTGTTATTATTATTTAAGTTTGAATTTGGTAAAAAATAAAATAAAATTTTTTTTATTTGCTGTTATTAATTATTTGGGTTTGTGTTTGGTAAAAAATAAAACAAAGAATAATTAGAAAAAGTATTTGGGTTTTTAATGGGTTTGTTTAAAATTTAAAATATGTAGATGAGTTGTATTAATAAAATGTTTTGATTGATGAATATTTTTGCTGAAGTGTCATGTTTATAAAGCTTCAAAAAGCTGATGTGTCAAGCTATGGAGAGACATGAGTGTTATTGTTGTGTTAATTAGTTATTTACATACGCTATGTTGCGGGATATTTTTTCTAAATTTTGTATATATTTTTAATATAATAAAATTATTTTTATAATATAAATAAGTATTATATTTATTTTTTATTAGCTTAAGTTATGTATTTATATGTTTTAAATCTGAATAAACATTATATATTTTTTTATTTTCAAAATTATAATTTGCTATTAAATTTAGTTAGCTAACTAATTATCAATGTATATATAAGAATAAAATATATAAGAATAAAACAATACGTTTTTAGTACCTTCATGCTAATGGCAAATGTAATCTATTTTCTTCAATAAATTGCCACATGATCCTCTTTTGTAATTATATAAAACAAAATGCCATTTAAAAAAAGATTATTAATTAATATAATTATTTTGAATTATAAAATTTATTTATTTATCAAATATTTTATTATAAACATATGTTTCTAAAACTACTAAACTATAATCAATAACATTCATATCAAAATCATTGCTATTGCTTTAGAACAAAATAGAAAATTATGTTTGAACTCTTAAAATATCGTTTTAGTTAAAATTAAATAATTAAATTTTGGTTACTGTAAACATAATTTAACTTGGAAATATAGCACAGAGAAATTTCATCTTCTTACAAAAATCAAGAAATCGTATTTCCCGTCAAAATAAAAAAACTTCATTTTCCCATTAAACTGAGAAATCGGCTATTCCTGCCAAAACCAAAAAATTCATTTTCTCGTCAAACATAAAACCTAAAATTTTATTTTCCCGCGAGAACCTGTGTTTTTTCACCAAAGCCGATAAATTATGTTTTTTCACAAAAACCAAAAAAATTCATCTTCCTACAAAAACCAAAAAAAAAAAAATTGTATTTTCCTGCCAAAATCGAAAAATTTATTTTTTCTGCGAAAACTGAGAAATCGTTTATTCCTGCAAAAAAAAAAATCATTTTCTCGTCAAGCTCATAATCACGCTTTCCTACAAAAACAAATAAACCATAATTTTCCGCAAAAACCAAAAATTGTATTATCTCCCGTGAAATTATGTTTTCTCGTGAAAACTAAGAAATTGTTATGTTTTTATCGGTTTAATTTTTGTTGATGTGTTAGCTTCTTATAACATAAAACTTTTTGTGTTGTAGTCATAGAAGCATAGTTGATGCCGAGTCTACACTTTTTCAATCATATATGTCTATGTCAAACAAATAGATAGCTAGAATTTTTTTTATTATTTATTTGTTGTTATTTATTATTTGGATTTGGTTTTGGCAAAAAAAAAGAAAATAATGATTTAATTTTTTATTTGTTTTTATTTATTATTTGAGTTGGATTTGATAAAAAATAAAATAATGATTTTTTATTTACTGTTATTAAATATTTGGGCTTGGGTTTGGTAAAAAATAAAACAAAAATTAATAAAAAAAATAGTTGGATTTTTAATGGGTTTAAGTTTAAAAATCAAAATAAGTAGATGAGATGTATTAATAAAATGTTTTGATTGGTGATTATTTTGCTGAGGTGTCATGTTTATAAAGCTTCAAAAAGTTTAGGTGTCAAGCCATGGAGAGAATTTAGTATTATTGCTGTGTTGATTATTTAGATTTGGTTTTGGCAAAAAAAAAAGAAAACATTGATTTAATTTTTTTCTTTGTATTTATTTATTATTTGGGTTTGAATTTGACAAAAAATAAAATAATATTTTTTTATTTGCTGTTAGTAAATATTTGGGCTTGGATTTGGTAAAAAATAAAACAAAAATTAATAGAAAAAATATTTGGGTTTTTAATGGGTTTAAGTTTAAAAATTAAAATAAGTAGATGAGATGTATTAATAAAATGTTTTGATTGATGATTATTTTTGCTGAGGTGTCATGTTTATAAAGCATAAAAAAACTGAGGTGTCAAGCAATGGAGAGACTTTAGTGTTATTGTTGTGTTGATTATTTCAAAAAATAATTATGTTACTTAATTTTTAATTGTAAAGATAATTAGATATGATATGACCTGGCAAAATTTATATCTAGGTTCGTTGTCACTGGCCAATCAAAATTTCACAACTTACAAATCAAAGTCAAATTCACCATTTAAGAAAGATATATGACATGATTAATAGTTAAGTCAGATTATCAATTAGGATAAATATTTTTTGTTTACAAATATTCAGAATATTTTCTACATCAGATAATTAATGTTTATACATATGATACATGAACTACGTCTCTATATATACAGCTAAAGAAGCGTGTATAAAGTAAGATACACATTGAATAACTTGAAAAAAATAAGTACCAAGAAGTTTATTGTAGTGTTTTCAGTAGTTGTAGTTCTTCTCAACTTGTGTAAGTTTATAACTTTTATTTTCTTGAATATAGTTTAGGTTTTCTTTATGTGTGCTTTTTTATACTTAATTTATCTTGAAAGTATTTTTGCAGGTATGATTACAAAAGTGCAATCAGCGAGAGGTTTGATGGAATCTAAAGACGTTAGCACGTACCACACTGATGCCATATTTAGTAAACACTGCAAAAGCATAATAGCTTGTCTTCCCTACTGTGCTTTTGTTAAAAAGATGTTGAACTACGACTGCAAAAATGGGCTATGCGTTTGTCAATCATGATATGATGTAAAAACAACATTATTAAGCATCAGTAATATAATAACACATTCTATTTCAATTTAGACCATGCTATTATTTTTTTTTGTTCGCACAAATAATTACTTTTGTGTCTTTACAAAAATATGAAATATACTTTTCTATTGCGGTTTACTTTCCATTTCTTTAACGATTTTCATCAAATCTCGACAATGTTTCTGGAAAGATAATATTCCAATGATCAGATAATATTCCAATGATCCCACCTGATGAAGACATCAATACTGACCAAACTAGATCCGTCTATAGAAACTGTACCAGAGCTAACCAGAAGCACTTCAAATTTGTACTAGAGGAATAAAGGAGATTTGTAGCTGTTTACAAAGACATTAAAGACTCACGACCAAAACAAGAACATTTTATTCAAGGCAAACCACCTTCGGTTCAGATTAAAACAGAAGAGAATCAAATTAAACCGCCAAATCACATGTTTGGACCAATATGTGTATATGCAAGCCCATATATGGAAACCTTAAAATGTATTTCATATCAACCACACGTCCACTGAAAATACCAAGAGTTTTAAACCACCAAATCAAGCCAATAATCAAGCCAAACCACCTGAAACCAATAAAGATTTTGCCATGAGGAGACTTTCCTTAAAATAATTCATTAACTTTGTTTCAAAGGGAAACAAAGACCAACGACCACTTTCTCTTGAAGATCTCAGCCCTCCATTCAAGTTAAAAGATCATGCGCATTCATACAAAGATCAAAGCCACAAGATTTGTTCCCCCTCTATCATTGCTCTAAATCAAGTATTTTTTTTCTTTTTTATGCTCAAAAACTAGCTACAAATCAAGCCAAACTTTGTATTTTGTTTTTATTACTTTTTTACCGTTTTATAAACTTCATTTTGAACATTTTCGTCATCTACCTAAAATTAACATGTTGACACCCTAAAAAAAGATCACATAATCATGTTTTTTCTCTTAATTTATGTTTATTATTTTGCATTTATTTTGTTTTCACCTCTAATCATAATTTTTTTATCGTATTTTTTACAATCTGTTTCTACAGTACCCCATTTTTGGGGTCAAACTTACTTTTATTTTTAAGCAATTATTTTTATTATTTCCAAAAAAACCTATGATACTCAATCTTAAATTGTAAAGATAATTTTGTCAAAAAAAAATTGTAAAGATAATTAGATATGACATGACCCCGGCAAAACGTATGTCTAGGTTTGTTGTCACTGGCCAGTCAAATTGTCACAACTTATGAATCAAAGTTAACTTCACCATTTAAGAAATATATATGACGTGATCAATAGTTAAGTCAGATTATCAATTAGGACAAATACTTTTTGTTTACAAATATTCAGGATATTCTCTAACAAATCAGGTAATTAATGTTTGTACATATGATACATGAATTAAGTCTCATTATATGTACATATAAAAAGGCCTGCATAAAAGTAAGACAAAACATCTTGAATAACTTGAAAAAAAAAATGAAAACCAAGAAGTTTATTGTAGTGTTTTCAGTGGTTGTAAATAAGTTTTATAACTTTTACTATTTTGAATATATTCTAAATTTTCTTTATCTGTGTTTTTCGGATACTTAATTTTTCTTAAAAGTATTTTGCAGATATGATTACAAAAATGCAATCAGCGAGAGGTTTGATGGAATCTAAGGATGTTAGCACGTACCACACTGATGCCATATTTAGTAAGCACTGCAAAAGCATAATAGCTTGTCTTCCCTACTGTGCTTTTGTTAAAAGGATGTTGAACTACGACTGCAAAAATGGGCTATGCGTTTGTCAATCATGATATGATGTAAAACAACATTATTATGTATCAGTAATATAATAACACATTCTATTTCAATTTAGACCATGCTATAAATTTTTTATGTTCGCACAAATAATTGCTTTTGTGTCTTTACAAAAATATGGAATATATTTTCCTATTGCGGTGCACTTTCCATTTCTTTAAAGATTTTCACCAAATCTCTGGTCTTTTGACAATGTTTCTGAAAATATAATATTCCAATGATCCCACCGGTTATTACATACCAAGACTTTAACTTTAACTGGTGATCATTAAATTAACAATAAAAATGAATAGAAAAAGAAAGAAAAGAACAAAATAATATAAATTATTGTTCCTTCTTATTTTTTATAGAGAATATATTAACATTATAGTTTCCTAAAATATAAAGAATGAAATAAATCATTGGTTTTCCTTCTCACATTAAATGGTATAATTTTTAAGGAATGATAAGAAATTTAGTGTTCTTTCCTATTTATGAGATCACGAGTTAGAGCCCAAATATTCTAAAATTAACCAGTCAAAAAGAAAGCAGAGGAGAGAGAGAGAAACCAGTCACCTAGTTATGTCTTCATTATCAAACTCTCCTCTCACTCTCGCAAACTTTTTTTGTTTACTGAAACTCAAAGAAACAACTGATCAGTGTTTTTTATTTTGTTCATTTTTTTTGTTCAAAGAAACAACTTATCTATTTTGTTCATTTTTTTGCTTTTCAACTGTTATAAACAACTGATCAGTGTTTTTTATTAAAGCTCGTGGTTCGTTGGTGTATCAACATTTTGTTGGGCATTTTCGTCATCTATCTAACAGAATGCTTTGTAATGTTGGTTTGTGTGTGTTTTGATGATTCTCGCTTTCTTGCAAAGCTCTAATAACATTTGACAATGAATATTCCATTCACTCAGACACATAAACCCATCTAGAAGATTCTCTCATGTTTCTGCATACGTTCGCATCTGTTTAGATTCCATCAATTCGATATTTATCAGTGTTTTTTTTTTTTTTTTTGACAACCAAAGGAACTTTTTACTTCTGATTCAGTCCAAACAAGCTAGCCTCTTGAGCTAACCAAGGTGGGACTGTCGTGGATACATCAATTAAAGCCTCGAGATCGAGCTCCTTTTGCGAGAGCATCAGCTCTAGAGAATTTTGAACTCAAAAATGAACATAAGCGAAAAATAAAGTGCGTATTTCCTTATTTAAAAGTTTTAAGGTATACGTTGGTGGGCTTAAGTTTAAATATGTTAGTGGGCCCAAATTGAAAAACGCCATGACTGTATAAGTTTCTAATCGTGATTTAAGTATTAAACGCGCTTTTCAGAGTTTTCCGGCCTGGATGAGCAACCCTCTCGTTTAGCTTCCCCGAACAGCTGTGTACCCAAATTTCTTCCCGCTTCATTCCATCGCCGAATATCGCGTTTCTATTCTCCGATCAAGATAATGCTCGCAGATCAACTAGTGTTGCTCCTCCTTCTCGTCTCTGTCTCCTTGTCGCCGCCGGTCAGGTGAGCAAGAAAAGCTAGGGTTTCTAGTGACATTTCTCCTTGGGTTTGAATAATCGTAACTTATCGGTTTGTCTGTGAACTCAATTGGAACGGATCTGCGAGTTGGGTTTCAATCCAATTGAAAACTCTGCCGCTATAAATCTCAATTCGTGCTTCCCGCCGGATGAGTCTCGTAGCTTGTTTACCATCCTAAAATCACCGGACTCGGGGTTTATGATTGTTTCAACTTCCCGCGATTTGATGTGCTGAAGCTTTTAGGTGTTTAGGTAATAATGGAGCAAGTGGGAAAGAGAGAACCTTGGCTATGGTAAAGCCAGATGGAGTCTCTGGTAGCTACACTGAAGAAATCAAAAGGATCATTGTCGAGGCCAGTTTCAATATCGTCAACGAGATGCTTACTCAGCTGGACAAAGAAGCAGCGTCTGCGTTTTACGACGAGCACTCATCAAGGAGCTTTTTTCCTGACCTTGTTGCATACATGACAAGGTGAGTAAGCTTTGGTGCTTAGTCTACATAACCTTTCTTTGTTTTGCATGCTTTTGCTAATGTGTATCTGAACTCAGTGGTCCCGTGTTGGTGATGGTATTGGAGAAGACAGACGCGGTTTCTGATTGGCGTGGCTTAATCGGACCAACAGATGCGCGAAAGGCTAAGATCTCTCACCCTCGCAGGTTCCTTTTTGGCTGCTGCCCATCGATGCTTTTGTGGTTTTGTTCTCTTTGTATTTTCTATACACTACAGACTCAGTGTGAGGAGGTTAAGAGAGACATAGTCGAAAGCTGCATCATTTATCATTGTTCTCTTGACTTCTTATGAATCATCAAACTCTTCCATCTTAGTTACTGACAGTGTTCTTGCAGCATCAGGGCATTATACGGCAAGGACTCGCAAAGAAACTGTGTGCACGGCTCGGATTCAACATCATCCGCTGAGAGAGAGATCAAGTTTTTCTTCAAGGATCTAGTTTCAGGTTTAGTTTCTTCCCCTGCCTCTTTTGCTTCTTAAATTCGATTCAGTATTACTTGTTATTATCATCGTTGACTAACCAAAACCCATTGTAATGTCAGGTGACATTGCTTCACAACATGATGAACTATGAGAAACACCAATTAATACAGGTTCTTCAACCCATGTTATGTTTCTTTACTTTAGTTTTGGATTGTAATCTTTTACCGGTTGGGTTGATTATCTATACTAGTCACATACATTGTCACATTACAGATTGAAATGATTTTGGATTGAACTTTTTTAATTTCGCCGCTAGCAATTATACAGTTTTGGAAAAACGGTATTGGATCACCCAAATTTATTTTCCTAGCCCAAGTTAGTGGGGACTGGGGATTATGGGCAAAGGCCTAGTAGCTTTCGACTTATGATTCTGATAGAATTTGTAAAGGATAATATATAGTAATAAATAAATATATGTCAAAGAGAAAGAAAAAAACGTCTAGATACCAGAAACGGAAATTTCCCGAAATAGAAAACTTTAGTAAACTACGGAAACGTTACTAAACAGAAAAAAAAGCCTCGTCCCAAACAATTACTCACGTGCTTTCCCTTTTCTTCTTCTTCCATTTTTCTTCGTTTCTCGTGAATTTTGTAATTTCAAGATTTTTCTCTTCTTTCCCTCACTCTAATAATATATTTAAACCATTTTTTCTATAATTGACGACTAGAGTGACGAGTATGAATTTGGGGAAATTCATTACCGGTTCGTTTTTCATCTTGGGAAAGTTTAGTGTCCAAATCAGTTTAAACTAAAGAGTTTATTTTCGCTTCATACTTCATAGCCGAACAATTTGTAATCAAATTCAAAACGGAATCGCAAATAATTGTACCCAAAAAAAAACTTCTAATTTGAACATATTTGTATCAAATGGATCCCAATTATAATCAAATTCATTAACCACAAATATGAAACCTGCAATAACTAAATTTAACAACATTGAAATCCAGATACGACTTTTCTGGCAATAGATGCGTAAATCAAATAATACCAAAATGGGTTGGTTACGATTTGATTTACAATATGATTTCTATTGAATTCGAAGGAGACTTCTTTTTTTTGGTAAATGATTCTAAATTTTGTTTGTTACTAATTAATCACTGGTTAAGATAGTAAATTAATTTGATCTGATAACAGCCTAGTCGCATGCTGACGTATCGCGTGACGATTAAGCATCCATTAACAACAACGGAATAAATTTTAGAAAATATAAATATGTATTTTCAGCCACCTAAAAAAAGATAAATGTTTCCAAGTTTTTCTCAAATGGAATAAAATAAAAGAATTTAGATGCCTAAGACGTGTACTGTTTGAAAATCACAAAGGCATCTTAAGAAGTCCCTAGATTTTGTGTTAATCACAACTCACAAGATTTAGGCAACGTAGTAACTGTATGAACCACATATTAACCACTGTTTATAGTGGTCCTTAATCCCAATTCTTGTCCCAATGTCCTCACTTGTTCTTAATTAACAACATTTTAATCAATTGTGTGCGCGTGTCAGTGTTATGTCGCTACAAACATTCGGATTAATGTTTAATTTTATCTTAAGTAATTCTCTATTTTGTTATAGATACTGTGAAGTACTTATCAAATGGCTTTTTAATTAAACTTAAACTTAAAAGACAGTATTACCAAGGAGAAAGGAAAAAAATATAGAGAAGAAGGTGGGAGAGCAAGTTGAAGTAAAAGACAAAGTTTTATGGAGATCAAGAAATGTTTGCTAATCCAATGATGTTAATTCATTCGGTAACATGCAATTCTATTGGACTTCGACGATCGTTTTTATATTTTATTTTATTTACATATCTTATAAGCAAGTGAAATTCCCTCTTTGACTGATCCATATATTGGTGGGATTAGTTTCGTATATGAAGATATTGCAAACAATTTTTCCCCAAAAACAAGATGTTGCAAACAAATACATTATCATGTAAACTCGTTGTTCTCGTTTTACTTATAATCTCAACATATAAAATCAATATTTCAAAAAACCACATTTCGATTGACTTTTTTTTTTTTGGAACAACCGAATGACTTATTCCATAAATGATCTTTTACTATAAGTGCCACAGCTCCTTTGAAACGTTAAGAAAATGTGCTTCTTAACAATTCGATGGACTATATATCATAATGTAGTTTATAGTACCTTAGGTTTAACTTCTTTTTTTTAGTTTGTTAGAGATCTTAGGTTTAACGTACCTTGAAACCATGGTACCATACCGTTTATTCGTACAATTTAGAGATTATAATTAATAGTAGAAGAAACTACAAATTCGAAACTCCTTAAAAGGAAGAAATGTGAATCTCTTGGATTTGTTGCTTGGGTTTGATAGGTGATTCTTGTCTAGTAGATACACACATATGTATTATGTACATGTAAAATATGAAATGGCCTTCAAAGTCAACCCGACCTCTTTGGGTAAAGGACTTGGACCGACAGAAGATTGCCAAAACAGCCTCTGTTGTCAGACACGTGTACATCTTTTTCCCTTTTTAAACATCTGTATAAACTTTACATGACGTGGAAATTTTTTATTGGATGGCTGAAGGTAACTGAGAGTGGTATGATGGGACCCATCATCGTTTCCTTTTATATGCGAAAAAGCGTGAGTGCTCTTTATAATTCTCACTTTCCATCTGTCTACTGTCTACTGTTTAGTACGTAAAAATGTATTATTTTCCTTTTTGAACTAGAGACGTTAAATGTATATTTAGATTTCATAAACAGAAACTCAACAACAACAAATATTTCAATAATTAATTTTTATTCGACCTCAACAATTTCCACTTCGTTAAAATATAAATGGGCAATTAGGTACGTAGCTAGTGATGGATATATTCGTTATGGTTTTAAAACTTTTTTTTCATATGCAAGTACGAGTATTTATAAATATAGGACACTTGCTCTAAAAAATTAGAAGGGTTTAAGACTTTAGGGGACATGGCACGAGCTCTTTTCGAGGATTTCTCGTTATTTTTTTTCGCTCTTTCTTTCTGGCTCTTTTTTCTTAGACTTTTATGCATTCTTTGAAAAACAACTTTAGTGCTTTACAATTTTTTTTTTAATTGTTTCCCCATATTATCCAGGACTATTGTGGATACATAATTGATGATCAATAATACATTGTATAGTAGACATGTCTAAATTTGGATTTAACCGGCTTGTATTTATTCTACATTGTTTGACGTTTGATTTGTATGTTATGAGTTAACGACACTGAACTGACACCAATTTCATCGTCTAGGTTAAATGCATTATGCGATAACATAGTTTTTTTTTTTTTTTTGCTCAACTATAAAATGAGTTACTAATTAGTATCTAATCGAATTAAACAAATATTTCGGAATTAATCCTTGGTTATACTTAAACATACTATATCACAAGTACAATTACAAAATTTATTAGTCTCAACTCTCAACCAACCGATACAAAAATTTCTTAGTTTCACAAAAACAAAAAAGAATGATGTAAACTAGACACAAGTTTATAAGTAATTAACAAAAAAAAATGGGAAATCCTCTTCGTGTCACCATAGTAACCATTCAATGTTATGCATGTCTAGAGATTCAATTCTTTATCGTTCTAGGGACTTCGAGTGCTATATAGATCGAAATTTAGTCTATGTATTGTCAAGATTTCTCCACGGTGTATGTCTGTGTGAGCCAAGATCAAAGCCGTGACGTTCTCTCCAATACGCGGGTTTACTAATTAATTAAGTTTTTTGGGGTTAACTTTTTAAAAAGTTATTATAATAATCTGTGGGCCGTAGTAAAATGTAGAAGAATGTTGGTGGACTCGTTGGTTACGTGGGGATATGTGCCTTAATGTGAGTTTGTGAGTTGTATAAAGAAGCAACAGTGAGATAACATCTGAACACAAGATTACAAAAAACAGTTTAAAAGTTTTTTTACTTAAAATTCTCTCTTTTCAGTAGTCAAAGTTTGGAACTTGAACACCATCAAATTCATCAATATTGCTCCAACTTGTCTAAAAATCTCATCATTTTTAAAACTCTATAATAACCATTAACCAATCTTGATTCCCCAGTAACTCGAGTTCGTATATATAATCTCTCTGTTACAGAGGATCGTCAAACAAAAGAAAAACATGAAGGTTAGTTTCATGATCCTTTGTGTGATCATATATACGCAAAATACCTTGATTTTTTTTTTTTTTGGCATATGTTTTCTGAATTGTTTTCTATTTTGTTTGTGTATCCAGTTATTCGGGTGGATGCATAACAAGCTAGATGCGAAACAGGGGAATAATAGAAGAACAAGCACTTCCTCTGCTTCTTCTCGTGAGTTTTTTACTTTCGCAAAATCGTAACTTCAAGATTCTATTGTCTACTAGGGATATGTGCAAGACTGCAAGCAATCCCCCAAGATTCTCGTCTCTTAAGAATTTGCTGTCTTTGGACTTTATTTTGACAATTGTCTTTGCTTCTTCAATTTGATTGGTCCTCTGAATTTTTGTTGTTCTCTTGAATCTTGTTTTTAGATCATGTGAAGCAAGAACCAAGAGAGGAGTTCCGCGACTGGCCTCACGCGCTTCTCGCTATTGGAACATTCGGTACCACAAGCAACGGTGTGAGCAAAAACAAGAGCAGCAATGTTTGTGAAGAGATCGAAGCGGAGAAGAAGCCTATCGCGCACTGCGAGCAAGAAGAAGAGCCTTCTTCCTCTGATGATATTGAGGAATTTACTCCCGAGGAGGTTGGGAAGTTGCAGAAGGAGTTGATGAAACTCTTGTCAAGAACTAAGAAAAGGAAGTCTGATGTGAATAGAGAGCTCATGAAAAATCTTCCTCTGGATAGATTCTTGAACTGTCCATCAAGTTTAGAGGTCGAGAGGCGAATCAGCAATGCGCTCTCCGCTGTTGTAGATTCGTCTGAGGAGAATAAGGAGGAAGATATGGAGCGAACAATTAACGTTATTCTAGGTAGATGTAAAGAGATATCTATAGAAAGTAAGAAGAATAAGAAGAGAGACATAAGCAAGACGTCTGTCTCATATCTTTTCAAGAAGATATTTGTCTGCACAGATGGATTTTCGACATCCCCAAACCCTAGCTTGAGAGACACGCTTCAAGAATCTAGAATGGAGAAGGTAAATTCAAAAAACAGAGAATATATAAATTTGATTTAAGATTTAATCTCGGTCTCTGATCAAAATCAATTTGTAAATTACAGCTGTTGAAGATGATGCTGCATAAGAAGATTAATGCTCAAGCCTCCTCTAAACCAACATCATCGACAACAAAGAGATACTTGCAAGACAAGAAACATCTGTCTTTGAAGAGCGAAGAAGAAGAAGAAAGCAATGAAAGAAGGAGCAGTGGCGACGGACATAAATGGGTCAAAACAGATTCTGACTGTGAGTTTTCAGTGGATCCTCGTTAATTTTAGTAAAACTCAAAAACAAACAAGAGCTGATACGATCTTGCTTTGATTACAGTTATAGTTCTTGAGATCTGATCCAACCTTTTCAAGTTCTTGCAAGAAACTATTCAGAGTACAGGTAATTAAGATATAATAAGAGAATTTCTTAAGCTTATATGTTACTCTTTCCTAAAAACTTATGTGAGATGTTGTGTTTTATCATTTATGCAGATTCAAACTAAAATTCAAAAGAAACAATGAAACGAGTCTCTTATTTCTGAGGAAATTTTTGGTGCATCTGCACCTGTATGTATACCTTCTTATTTTTTGCATGATTGATCTGTTGGCATTTGGGTCCATAGAACCAAACATGTTCTTGAAAACATACATACATGTGTATCATTTGTGTAATTTAAAGGCGGATAACCTTAACTTATGATGATTAATATGTCCTCTTTATAACATTCTTTGTGGATTTGGTTCAGTTATTTTTTAAGAGGCAAGTCAACTCTTGAAATGAACAATACTTTTTCTAGTTTCTCCTTCGTGTATTTAAAAATAAGATCTTACAGGTCCCCAATCAAAAACCAGAAACAAAATATTTCTTAAGATTGGATAAAAAAAGGGCCAAAATTTGTCAATAATTTTCTCCTGCTCTTCGATTAGTAATAAGAGTTTTGAAACAATCCAGTTACAAGCTTTTCTCCGAAGTTTTAAAATCAATCTTTTGACTAGTAATAGAAGAATACAGTGTGACGAAATTGCTTTTATCTGTGGACTGTAACATTTAATTATGGGTTACTTTGGGCCCAAATTATTGTGAAATATGAGCCCAAGCCCATTTCGCACATATGCAAAGCAAAACAAACATAAAGAGTTTTTGAGGAAACTTGAGTGACACATAGTGTGTGAGGTCCCTACTCTTTAAATTTCCCAGGAATCTCCGATAGAAAGAAATTCAAAAAAAAAAACAGAACCGGAAACTCAAGCGCCAAATCACGAAGATCTCTGGAGGAAGAAGCTCGTTGAGGAGAATTTCCGATTGTTTTCTGGATTTTTGAGATTGATCCGGTAGCTAGAGAAACAGAGCGAAGAGAGAGAGAGAGATTTTTTTCACAAAGCGATAGGATCAAACTACGTTTAAGCTCGCTTCGCAAACAATGTATGCTTCGGTGGTGAGAATTCGAACGAGATATGGAGAAGATTAAAAGCGAGGCTGTTCGACTTCCCAGGAATCTCCGAAAGGAAGAAGCTGAGATTTAGAGCCGGAAAATCAAGCGCCAAATCGGAGGTTTATACCCTCATCTCCGGCGGAAAGAGGATTTGATCTCGCAAAAGCCGTCAAAGCTATCGTTACAGGTAATTCATCTACATATTTGAAAAAGCAGATCGGGTGATTTGTGAGGACGATGATTAAGTTTGTTGATCGATTCTTCATTGATTGTCACGGAGATTTCGCTTTTTGAATTTGAATCTACACAACAAACTGTTTTCTAATTGCACAACACTGATTCCTCCAGGTTTGTTTGTTTACACCGAATTATTGCCCCTTCTTTGGATTGCAAGGAGATATTCAATCAGATGCTTGTAAGTAACTTGTAATATGAGTCATTCATGATGTTTGTTTGTTGGTTGGATTTTGAGAATGTCCTGTTTCTGTTTTCAACAATCGAATTCATTGTAAGACCGTTTTGCAAATTCAATGTATCAGATGCTTCAGTCTCGACCAGTAGTGGATCCTCCCAGTCCAAGCGATTCTCACTCAGTGTCTTCACTCCACAGCCTTACACTGAGCGTCTTCCTCATCGTCCTCATCCTCCTCATCACTCTTTTGATCACCTTCTCCATCTACTTTCTCCTCCGACGTCTCCGCCGCTCGCTCCTCCCTCCACACTCGAGTTCCGGCGATTGCGCCATCTGCTTGTCCCCGTTCCAGCCTGAGGACAAGCTCCGTCACCTCCCGCTCTGTTGTCACGCTTTCCACGCCGACTGCATCAGCGTCTGGCTCGTGTCGAACCAGACATGCCCTCTGTGCCGCTCTCCTCTCTTAGCTTCTGATGACGCGACTACGACAGCGGAGAGTTTGGCAGCGGATATAGGTCATGATGGTTCCAGGAGCTGGCTGAGGGATCTCTCACGTGGTGTATCCTCCCGTGCATTATCCTTTAGAGACTCCGGTAGGTATTTTACCGGGAGCAGCCGTCGCACGGTCGTGGATTTGGAGGCCGGAGAAGAGATCAGTGAGTATTTCCGGTGGCTCTCGTCGGTCTGACTCGTGACTTTTGCTTCGATTACTAAACATGAGGTACTATTTCAGAGTGTCCATACAAATCTTATAAAGTGACACGAGCTTCTTTGGCTATGTCATCAGCCACATCACATTGTTTGCTCCCCTTTGATTGAAGTACATAAAGGAAACGTTACATGTAGATAAAAAAAGTTTACAATAATATCACCAAGTAAGGGGTATATAATATGATCCTTTGATGTAAAGTCGCTTCCTGTATAAGATCAGGTAATGCTTTGGAGTCCCCATAAAAGTGTATTCCTAGGAGTTTGACTTGATAATCAGCACAGTAGTGATTGCAAGAGCTTCTGCTTCTAAGCGGGAGTTCACATGATTTAAAAAGAGAAATAAAGGCTCTAGGCTCTTTAAGGATTTTGAAAGGCCTTCTTTTTTAATGTCCTATGCCAATAAGATTTTGGTTTGTGTTTAGTGATAAATGGTCGGAATATTACCATAATTTAAGTGATGGGAATATTAGGAATCTCTAAGGTAAAAGCTGAATGACATGAGTCAACGCTAAAACAAGTCATCCTAATTTTAATGATAAAGAAGACCCCAAGGGAAAGAGGCACGTTTATTCCGAATAGGCAGTATATCATGTCACTTTCAAAAGGAACCCATCTGTTACCCAACTTGTTTATTTCCAGAAATAAAAACCAAATCATTGACTTACCAAACCGGTTCAGCAATTGCTGATTGGATTCGATTTATCGACCGATCGGTTCGGTTCTGCTCTACTCGGACTTCATTTTGTTCCCAGTAACAACACTATTTAATTATAATTATAATTAAATTACCCACCGTAATCATTTTCACGAACACGTTTTTTTAACAAGTCGTAATTGTGAAGCAACGTATTGATTATTGCATCCGTGAAAGGGGCAGTTGGGTCAATTTAACCTTTGAGCTATCATTTTATTTTTGACCAATCTTTTTATTAGGTTGATCGATTTGCTCTTTTTCTTTTTCTGTATGAAGTGGGAAAAACGCGAATCACACACAAGATTACGATACGTGTCATAATCTTAACGGATGATCTATTTAGATCACGTGTTTAAATTTTTGTGTCGGGCCTGAGACGTCAGACAAGTGTGTACACTGTATTCTTTTGAATTTTTTTCACGCGAAACTTCGAAGGGATTAGCGGGTAGGACCCACGTGGCCCACATACTATTCAATTCGAATTGCCGTTAAGTCGTTAACTAACGCGAGAGTAACTTTCGTGTTATATAGTATATCTGAAGAGGCCATGGATATGAGTTATAATTACGTTTGATGCCATCACGTTATTTTTAGGTGAGTTCTTGAGGAAGGGCAATTTTGGAGCCTTCAAGAAATTGTATCAGATTTGGTTAACGGCGTTTGATAACGTTGCCGTCGGTTCTGAACTCTTGTTTCTTACGCGTAAGGAAAACGTGCGGGAAATTCTAACCGAAAAAAAAAAAAATTTGCCTGGTCCAAGTTTAAAATCTGGCCGTCCATAAATAGATAAAACTGTACCAAATTAAACAAAAAAACGTATGATAAGATAGGCCATAGATTGCACAAAAAAAAAAAGATAGGCCATAGATTTGCAATACCAAACTCTAAAAACAATATATTATTGATGAATTATTAAAATTATCTTTCTTACGAAATTTCCTTTCTTTCACACGAGATATATTTAAATTTAGTTAAAAATGTCATGTGATAAAATATTACTCCCTTTGTTTCATAATAAATGTCATTTTGAGAAAATGTAACTGGATGTATCTAATACATCCAGTTATAATGCAGATATATTTTCTCAAAATGATACTTATTATGAAACAGAGAGAGTACTAAACTGAATATATCTTTTAATCATTAGTTATAAACTTATAATGATAAACCAAACAACTGTTTGTTTGATCAATCAAAAATAGAGACACCATAATTTGTTAATCTAAACACTTTAAAAAAAAAGTTTGTATTCTATTCAATATTAAAATTAATTTGGTGCGTACATACTGAAAGTTCCTTTTTATTTTTGTTTTCTTTAGTTTATTGGATTCTCTATTAAAGCCAGAAAAACTTATTGGGTAAATGAGTTTATTATAAACACATGAGCGAGCTCGAGACATCTCTCTTGTACTCTTCCATTTTACGCGCAATCCACACACACAAAGAAGAAGAAGATAAACAATACACATAAAGATAAATACATAAAAAAAACTCTGGAGAATTTCCTTCTAATCATTTACAAGATGTCGAGAAATGAAAATGCTAAGGCACAACAGCTGGAGAAGTCCAGTTTTACCCGGCGATGTAGTTTGCTCAGCCGTTACTTGAAGGAGAAGGGTAGTTTCGGAAATATAGATATTGGATTGGTCCGAAAGCCCGATTCCAGTGTCGGGTTATCCGGGAACCCGGATCCATCAGGTACTTTCTCTCTTCCTCTCTCACGGCCACCAGCACTCGTAAACAGACTGAATTTAGTTCTGTTTTAGTTTCTTGATTTGTAAGTCAGTCCCTTAAAATCGGAATTAGCTTCCTCGTTAAGATAAGTAACAAAGAAACGAGAGAATTTATGATTTGATTTAGAAATTGATTGAAATACGGTTCATGAATCCCGAACAAGATGTTCTAGCTCCCGAGAAAAGTTATTTTTTAGAATTTATTCGTTTGATTAGAATAAAGCTGACCAGAGTTTTTATTCGCTTTATTCAGGGAAACAACAAAATGTGATGCATAAGGCAGATTCGGAAACCAAACTCCTCGACGTCATTCAGCGGGTATCAAAAGGCGAACACTCTACCTCATCTGGTGGCAAAGCCACAGATACCAACCTCAGGTCTATATAATGCTCTTTTGATTTTTTTCTTAATTTGAGAAAACTCTTTTGATCCTTGGAAGAGAAATTTGTTGCTTCCCGGTTTTTAAATGGTTTAGATCGGTTTTTAAATGGTTTACAGTGTATCAGAGGCAGGAAGTTCCCAGCTGACCATATTCTTCGGAGGAAGAGTTTTTGTATACAATGAGTTCCCTGATGATAAAGCTAAAGAGATAATGGAAGTCGCAAAACAAGCCAAGCCTGTGACTGACATTACCATTCAGACACCAATGGATGACGACAACAACAACAACAAAAGCAACATGGTTCTTCCTGATCTCAACGAGCCCACAGATTCCGCGGATCTCAATCAACAGCAGCAACACCAAAATCAGCTTGTTGAACGTATAGCACGTAGAGCTTCGCTTCATCGTTTCTTTGCTAAACGGAAAGACAGGTACATAACTTAACCACACTATCTGATGTTCTTTCTTGGATTATGTCGTAATGTCCCAATCACCATAGTTAGTTCGAAAGAGTAACGATTCTCTAACGTATGCTCTCATAAATGATCCTCGTAACCACAATAGATTCTCACAAACCGCGTGATTTACATTTTTTTTTTTGTTTTCCATCACAGAGCTGTGGCTAGAGCCCCATACCAAGTGAACCAAAACGCGGGTCATCATGATTATCCTAACAAGCCCGAGACTGCACCCGGTCAACCGCTTGAGCCGGGACACTCGTCAAAACGACCGGAGAATTCTGTTGCTCAAACCATGTCCCTCACAAAACCAGAAGGTGATAAAGATATTTGTATGGAGATTGAAGAAGTAGGCCAATGTTCGAGACATCTCGAACTTAGGCTATAGTAAAGTTTGCTCAATACAATATATGTTAGGTATATTGAGTTTTTAGATTAACAATTCGATCCTCTGACTTATTATATAAGTGATTTTTTTGCTTAGTACTAAAGTATGTAATCATAGTCCAAACTTGAATATTTACATTTACTATATAGTAAATTTAGATTAGAACTTATTTAAGTCTATAACAAACACTAAAAGAGAAGTGTATATTGTTCCCTTTAAAGCCACCAATAAAAAGATAAATGCTTGATTCTAGATGTAAATCAAAACCTTTTATTTATGTTCAAAAACTCCGTTACTGTCTATACAAAAGCTTCGTTCAATTTGAATTATCAAATTTCCGATTTAGCCTGATCAAGAATTTTTTTACCTCTTCCAATTTGGCTGGTTTTTCCTTTTCAACTTTACAAGTTTTTCAAATTTTATCTTCGTTATTTGCGTTAGTTTCTTTTTGTTTTCTTCTACTATGTATTATGTACAGTAATTTGTCTCGATATCCTGTCCCTAACAATGCTCTATAGAAACATGCTGGAATTTATTTAGTCAATACATAGGTTTCATGGTTAACAAAGTTTCATATGATTGAGATGATATTAAAACACAGAGAAACTTACAATCTTTCCAACTAAGAACTGGATAACAGATTTAGTAATCTGGTTTCAGGCGTAACGCGGGTAAAGAATTAAGTGAACCATATGCATTTTTGTAATTTAATTCTAGGTTGTAATTCGTGAAAATAATAAGCTTAAAGGGTGTATCTTTAATATGAAATAAAATAAGGGGTCGTTTTGTGATTAGTTGTCTGAATTCATTTCATTGAAGGCGTGTCTGCTTTGGACAGTGATTGGGCTGAGCCATCATTTAACGTGCTAATATCTCATTGGCTGTCAGTTCTAAACTTTCTTACAGCCTGTGACTTTAGTTTATCGATGTAAACTAATAAAAAATAATCAATTCAACAAATTCGTAAGAGCCACTCGATTGCTTCCTTCGCTTTCTATCAAGAGACTTCCTTTTTTCCTTCTACTTCTTCATTTTCTTTTTTTTTTCTCAATTTTTTTTTCTCGAAAACCAAAAAAAAACACTTTCGAGCCCTAAAATACAGAGCACCGGTCTCAATTTCATTTCCTGGGAGACAAAAAAGTAAATCAAAGACAATAATTTTTTCCCGAGAAAATGCAGAGGTTGAAGCAGCAGCAGCAGCAGCAACAACAAGTGATGATTCATCAAGCTCTTATGCAGCAACAGTCTCTCTACCATCCGGGACTCCTCGCCGCACCTCAGGTTTCTGCTTTCTCCGTGTGCTTTTCTTTCATTTCAGTGGTCCATTTTTTGTTTTGTCGATTTGGGTTTTTAGGGCTTTCTCACAGAGAAACAAGTGTTTTCTTCTTCGTGATGTCTCAAAGTTTTCTCTTGGATTTCAACTCCTGTGATTGACGATGCTTGTTTCTCTATTGTTCATTATAAGTCAAAACGAGATTTATGGGATTATCACTTATAGCCTTGCTTCTTGTTATACTTGAAGCTTGTATGTAAATATTTGTTAACCATTTTTTCTTTAGTGTTTGTTTTCATTGTTTGATTTTTGGTTCAACAACTCCATGAAAATCTTCGAGTTCAAACTGATTCCTACATTCTGAAGAGTGGATTAGACAAAGGGTCATTTAGGTAGCAAAACTTTTTTTTTCCTTTATTTCTTTCTTTTTCATTTTCTTTCGTTTCCTCTTTTTTTCTTCTCCTTTTTGCAGATAGAACCAATCCCAAGTGGAAATCTTCCCCCTGGTTTTGATCCGAGTACTTGCCGCAGTGTGTGAGTGTTAGGTTTTTTTTTTTTGTATTTTTTGTTCACTTTTATGTATATTTGGTGTTTTGGATTAATATTGTCTCAGTAGGAAGCTCAAGTTTCCAGTTTGTGAGTCTCAAAATTAGTCAGGGGAAACCATACTTCAAAGATGTATAAATGTGTATATATATTGTTAAAGAACTGTGCTTTGAATGAATACGCGTGTGAAAAATGTTTACGCAAGCTTTTCTCTGAATTTTTTTGCTTCTAATAATCTGGGAAAAAGTGATTCTATGTTCTCATCCCGTCATTGAATGAATTCTTTGGTCAGAAGTGTTGGTTATGTGCGGTTTTCACTTTGTTTCTTGTTTAAGTTTCTAAGTTTGTCTACCTTTGAAAAATTGCAGGTACGTTGGAAACATCCATATCCAGGTGACGGAACCTCTGCTCCAAGAGGTTTTTGCAAGTACTGGTCCTGTAGAAAGCTGTAAACTTATTAGGAAGGAAAAGGTTAGTGTTTTCGTAATACTCTACTTGCTATGTTTTAGTGTTTTACTACGATGAACCTTCTTTTCTTGGGTTTTGGCCGTGATTGGTGTATATTCTGATCTTTATGCTTTAATTTGAAAACGGACAGTCTTCTTATGGTTTTGTCCACTACTTTGATCGACGATCGGCTGGTCTTGCAATCCTTTCTCTCAATGGGAGGCACTTGTAAGTTTGTTACTGGACTATTAATCTGTAATTAATCTAGTATGAGCAAGAATACTCTGTTTCCCAAGGTTTGGATTAGATTACATTGGGTTTTGTAACATGCAGGTTTGGGCAACCTATCAAGGTTAACTGGGCTTATGCTAGTGGCCAGAGGGAGGACACATCAGGTTGGTTCATACTCTCATTCTAGACTTTATTTATCAAATAGGGCGTTAGGGGTGACCTATGGGTAACATACTTACATGACACACTGTTGCAATCTTGCATGTGCAGGTCACTTCAATATATTTGTGGGGGATTTGAGCCCGGAGGTTACCGATGCAATGCTGTTTAGTTGCTTTTCTGCCTACCCAAGTTGCTCGTAAGTTTTTTCTGCCGTCTGAGCATTCTTGTATTGGAAATGGAAGCATTAGATTTTGCATTCTGAGCTTTTGGTGTTGTATTTAGGGATGCAAGGGTGATGTGGGATCAGAAAACTGGGCGTTCAAGAGGATTTGGATTTGTTTCGTTCCGTAACCAGCAGGTAATAAAATTTCCTCCTTCAGTCCTCATCTACGAACTGGTTTTTAACTTAAGACATTTATTAATTGCTTCAAATCTTACTACCTTGCGCAGGATGCCCAGACTGCAATAGATGAGATAGGCGGTGAGTGTGGTGATCTGCCAATTCTCTTATCATGATAGAACTTGGAAGCTTTCCTTCTTGCAACTAGTGTAAATATCATAGTTCGAATGAGGTCGTAGATATCTTTGTTTGTCACATTTAAACGCATGGAGTTGAGTTTATGATGAAGTTTGTCTATAACCTGATAAGACTATATGCGTATAGACATAGACCGTGCCATCTACCTTTATTGGCTTGTAACTGATGAGAGATTGATTTCTGTACTTTTCAGGGAAATGGCTTGGTTCCAGGCAGATTCGCTGCAACTGGGCAACAAAGGGAGCCACTTCTGGTGAGGAGAAGCAGAGCTCTGATTCCAAAAGTGTTGTGGAACTAACCAGTGGCGTCTCGGGTATGTGTTTGAGAAGAAAAACTCTACTCAAATGATTTTAGTTCTTACATCTTGATTCTGAAACATCGGCTAATGTGTGCCTGCAGAGGATGTTAAAGATACGAGTAGCGGCGATGCTCCCGAGAGCAATGCTCAGTACACAACTGTTTACGTTGGGAATCTTGGTCCAGAGGTAAGAAAAAAAGACCAATTGTGGTTATAGGGCTTCTTTTGACTTGACACAACCGTCATCTATATCTTGATTTTGTTTGAAAACTAAATGATTTATATATCTGTTGGAGTTTTCAGGTTTCGCAGGTTGATCTTCACCGCCATTTCCATTCCCTTGGTGCTGGAGTTATCGAGGAGGTCCGCGTTCAAAGAGACAAAGGTTTTGGATTTGTGAGATACTCCACTCACGTAGAGGCCGCCCTCGCTATCCAGATGGGGAATACGCACTCCTACCTCGGTGGCAGGCAAATGAAGGTAAAACCAACTAACTTTACTGCTCTTTCTTTTCCGGTCTCAACTCAAGTCATTACATTGATTTGGGGATGCTGAATAAACACTGTGTGCTTTGTTGTGCCCGCAAGTGTTCTTGGGGAAGCAAGCCAACTCCAGCAGGAACAGCATCGAACCCGCTTCCTCCACCAGGTCCGGCACCAATCCCGGGATTCTCAGCGAGCGATCTGTTGGCTTACGAGAGGCAACTAGCGATGAGCAAGATGGCCGGAATGAATCCGATGATGCATCACCCGCAGGGACAACACGCTCTCAAGCAAGCTGCTATGGGAGCCACTGGTTCAAGCCAGGCTATCTATGACGGTGGTTTCCAGAACGCCCAGCAGCTCATGTATTACCAGTGAGTTCTTCCTCGAAGCCGCCATTTCAGTCCAGAGCCTTTTTTTTTTCTTTGCTTTCTTTTGCTATCTTTATGTAATGTAGTTATCATCTTATCGTCTTTTTTTTTCCCTTTCTTTTTCTTCTAACTTATTTTCTTGTTATAATGTTATCATGTAGCTGTGGGTTTGTGATTTGTTACATGCTTTTCTTTTTTTTTCTGTTGTTTTTAAAACTCCCATTTACCTTTTTGCACCTCTTTAAACTTGTTTTTCAGTACATGAGTGATCTGCTTCCTATTCTTTTAGCCGGCTACTTTCCGTCTCTATACCCAAAATCGACATGCTTGAAACGAAATACATGATGCGAATTTTTTATTCAAACGGAGGTGTTGACGTGTCTGTTAACGGTATGTCTGACGGGTCCAAACTTTTTGGGGTTTATCAAGAAAGTTTAGGGTTCAGTTGTCCCGAAACGCAAGTTTAGGGTTTTTTTTTCCATGCAGAAAGACAATAATAGTTTTTTTTTCTTTTTTTTGAACTCTAAAAGACAATAATAGGTAGGTGTTTTTAGACGTTGCAGTAATTGATCGAAAGAAAGAAAGAAATAAAGTGAAACGGCCCAGTTTCATATACTCTGAGGTAGACAGGGAGAGAAAAGCTTCGTTCTGGAGTGAGTTTATGCTAATTCCCTGGTTTCTATACCCATATTTGGCTGTTTTCTCCGACCAGATCTCCAGTTCTTGAGTCAAATTTCTTGTTGCCCAATTCCTATTATCTGAGATAGACAGAGAAGGAGAGAAAGAGAGGTGCATGCTTCAATATCATGAATATAAATGAATTCATAACTAAAATTAGTCCAACTAATTAATAAATGACAAAAATCCCTATGTTATTAAACTATATAAAAAAAACTGAAAAACAAAGATGCGAAATGAAACAGTGAGACTGATTATTGGGAGCGTACATACTTGAAAAATAATATTTTGTCATTAATTAGTTGGACTACATTAAGAAGAAAATAGATATTTATTTCACTATCTTCTTTTTATCTATGTTTTTCAAATGATGTGTTATTAAACTATATAATAAACATCTTGTTTATCATAAAGTTGAAAAGGTATCATATACAATAACATTTAAAGCGTTTCAATGAACAAACAATTTTATGCAAATAATAAGAAAAAAATATATGCAAAATATAAGAAAATTTTGAGTAAATATAATGCAACTATCAGTAAAATGATTTCTTTTATATCAATTTTGAGGCTATTTTGAAACAAATAGAAGATCAAACACACAATATATATTAATCGATGAAGTTGAAGTAATGAATAATGTAACTTTCAAAATTGTATTATAATTAAGACAGCTACAAAAATGACCAAACCATGTGATTTGCTTTCTTGGTTTTGATGTCGGAATTCAGTTGGTGGTGAAGAAGATAAATTCTTCTTAACAACATTCGTCGGACTCAACGCTAATAAGGAATATCAAAAACGCTTTAATGATAAAAACTCAAAAACGTTTCTCTCAGAAGGTTTGAATGATATATGATGAACTTTATTAACAAGTATGTAACTTGGGGGTGATCTGTATATATTTGCTAGGTGAATGCTTTCAGGCTAGAGAGGTCTCTTGTATTGTCAATGAAAGACACAGATTCTATAATCAAGTAATAGTATTTGTTAGTCAAATGCTAGACGGACTCAGATACATAGTTTACATGTACTTTTTCTGCCTGGTGCTTTTCGCTATAACTCGGTCAGGTTGTTTTTCTTTCGCCATCCGTTTGATGTTGGCGAAACTTGTTTAATCAACAGGAGCTGAAGTAAGTTTGAAAACCGTTTTTATAAGTACAAAAACGACTAAACCACATATATAGTATTTTGACTTGTGATTTATTTTCTGGTTTTGATGTTGGAATCCAGATGGTGGTGAAGAAGATAAACTTCTTCTCAACAACTTTGGTAGGAGTCAATGATAATAATGAATATCAGTTCAATAGCAGTATTCTATATCCCTGCTCTATTGCACCATGTGTAGATGATTCTCGGTTCGAGAAGATACAACTGATTCTGAGTGCTTTCCAAGGTAACTTGTTTTTCATTACTAGCTAATATATTTTGTGCTTAATTTTTTTTTAATTGTTGTCTCTTTTATAGGTACAACAATGGTTTGATTACAACATCTGCCATGAAGTCTTTCAAGATTAGGATATAGGATGGTTGTAGACTTCTTTCTTTGTGTTGTAGGAAGCAAAAACTCTAATACTGTATGTAGCTTCGATTTTAGCTACTTAATGTTCAAACTGTGTGTTATGTAACCAAAATCTATCGGTTGTAGCATTCCAAAGTTCTGTTGAGGAGATCGATCCTTTTTGTGGATTTAAAGCTGTTAAAATGAAAGAAACTGAGCATTACTGGGATTTTTAGTGTATCGAATGTGATCGTTACATCATAACACACAATATTTTGACATTGATCATTGATAGTCAAATTTAGAATTTTTGGAATAGATGCATATCAGCATATGCCATGGAGTGAGACCAAATTTTCACTCCAATAAACTCATATTTCTTTGTTGGATAACGTAGAAAGCAAAAACACTTTGATATGTATATAATTTAATTACAAGTTCTTAGTGATCAAAAATATGTTTATCTCATTTTAATATTAAAGAAATCAACAATAATGTACTCAAATCGAACCAAGTAATTCCCCTTCAACACTACAAACTTTGTACTCGTGTTGTTGTAAAGGAAAACACAAGAGTTTGGTTTCTGTTTTTTTTTTCTTTTTTTTCTGTTATCTTGGCTTCGAGTCGTTTCCTTTGCTACGGAACGTAGACAGTGAGAAGAATGATCTCTTAAATTCACCATCTTTCGCTCTAAAGCTCCCTTGATGAACCGAGTTGTTTGAAGCTTTGAAACAGAAAACACAAAGCTACGATCAGAGGACTTTCATGAAACCAATTAAGACAAACAAAAGTAAACAGATTTGACACCTTGTTCATCCTCAGAAAGCTGACTTTGAGAAGACGCCATTCTTGACTTCCTCAACTCGTCCGATGATCTATAAGCAAAATCATCGTCGCCTTCAGATGTCGTCACAGAAGCCCAATCCATTAGATTATCCGCAGCACGAGTTTTCTTCCCAAACTTTAGCAGACGTTTGATCCCTTTCGCTAGATCCTTCCGAGAATGGAGTGGAGAAGAATTAGAAACAATAACAGGACTCTGAGCCGTTGTTCCCCATTTCTTCCTCATTCTCGAGCTCCAAGAAGCAGGACTCCCCATGGGAGAATAATCCATGGAAGCATCAGCATCTGAGTGCTCGTGCGGATAAGAGAATGCGTGTTGCAGGTTTGAGTTCCATGAGAGAGGACTGTCACTAGGTGAATCCATTAACGAGGCAACACTATGCTGAAATGTTAAAGGTAGAGCATTCACCGGTAAGTCTACCTGAGAAACTGATCTCAAACAAGTGACATTTTCATCGTCTGAGGAGTTCTCGACTTTGTCGCTAAGTGAATGCTTTTCATCAACAATATCCTCAACCACTAGAGTTTCTTCCATTTCTCCAGCTTCTTTTAGAGGAGTCTCCACGACTTCCTTTTCTTCTACTTCTGCCTCAGAGTCAACTTCATCAAACTCTTCATTCCTCTCTGGTACATCAATGTCACTGTCTTGCTTCTGATTTCTCTCTTTGTTCATCATATCATCAGAGTAGAGAGTTGTCAATTCTGTGAACTCTATGTTCGCAGAGAAGCTTTTCCTTAACGATCTTGGCCTCCGGGGCTTAACAGGAGGCGATATGTCTTCCTTTGCGGTCTTCTTATTACCACTTCTCACCTGTGTTCGCATCATAGGAGGATTTCTGACAGCTAAAGAAGATGGTTTTGTGTTTTCTTTCTTAGGATCAGAGAAATTGGGAACAGAAGATTGTGCAACCGGATTTATCTCTGTTGTTCTTCGCACTCTCCCGGAAGTAATGTTAGTGTTTGAAACTTTACCTGATACCGGTTTTGAGACTCGGGAGCTCCGGTTTGGTGATGGACCCTTTCTTACTTGGGAGCTCCTTGGAGCACTCTTTCCAACGACTGGCTTATCTTTCACGTCTTCCTCTTCGCTCTGTAATGAGCTTATAGGATGCTGTCAAAAGATCAAGAAGAGCTTTTTACCAAATCAAATTTGCAAAAATACTAAATAGCAAATCTTTTAACTGATTTCTTTTGATACCTGATACTTTTTCAAACTCGACCGAGCATTAAAAGATCTTAATTTCTCTGCGCGTTGGCGGGTACTTGATATCGAATCCTGCCTCTTCTCGGAAGCAGCAGAAAACTTAGCCTTCATCTCGGTCCTACTTCTCTCAAGAGCTTCTTGCATTGACTTGAGTTTAGTTTCTTTCGAACTCCACTCTTCTCTCAGTTTTGCATCCCTTTTCTTCATGTACGTCTCATACAGCTTCCCTTTGGAACCATCTGAAAAACTTAACTCGGATAAATTCCGCCGCATTACAGCATTCCCGTTGCCTTTATCATCACCAGCTGATTGATCCACTGGAAGAACCTGTCGTTTATGCTCTGCAAACATCTTCTCAAGCTCATTTGCCTTCTTTTTCAGCTCATCATTAACCCCTTGAGGGCTTTCCCTAGACATTCTTGTCCTCTGCGTTTGATCCACAGATGCTGCACGAGCTCTATTATTGTTGATCTTTCCAGCTGAATTTGCATTCGCGGGACTAACCTCAAGATCATCCTCTACATCAAATGATCTTTGTCCTTGTTCAGACCCTGCAGAATCATTAAGATGTACAGTTAAAATATTAGTATTCAAAACCTTGACTTCTGAAACGATGTTCAAGATCTTGTAAATTTTAAATTACGTTGGGTTAAGACTAACCTGCAGAAGTTGGTTTTGTAGAGGTTGGTTGCTTGTCTAATGGAAACATCTCTTTTTTCCGGCCTTTTGGTTGAATATCATCACTTTTGATATCAATACCATTTGCTAAATGAGCTGATCGAGATCGCGTATGTCGATAAGGGAACACAACAGATGATGGAGCCACATTGTGGGACTTGGATGCATAACTCTCCTCTTCTCTCTGCCTGATAGCACCATCAGTCTGGTTTTGAGAATCATCACATTTGGTAGAACACACATCGTCATCATCATCAACCTTTATACTGTTTTCCTCAGACTCTCTTGGCACTGTGGCGTCAGGATTACCAGCTGATGGTGCACTCGAGGGACCTTCTTCGGTGCTACTAGTGTCAGACTTCTTGTTATCCGACGTCAAATCAAAGCTCATGTCACTAACAATACTCCATCTTCTCAAAACAGTTTTTTCAGGGAATGCAGGAGCAGCTGATGAGACATCAGAAGAAAGCCTCCTTAACTCTGTGGACTTAGCCACAACCACCGGTTTGGTTCCTCCAGAGTTTGAATTTTCCTTCTGTTTGTTCTCAAAGAGATTAATCCGATCTTGTACGCTGAGTCTCCTCGTAAGTTGACTGGTCTTAACCGTAGAAGTAGACTCATCCAAACTCTCATCTTTTTTCTCCTCTTCATCTTTCTTAGTGCTCTCAGCACTTTGAAGTTGACTGACGTTTGTTTCACTGTCTGATGTTTGTGTGTTGGTCTTCAAGTTCTTCGTGATCAGGTCTGGTCTTCTTTGCCATAGTGAAATATATTTACCGCATGCTTCGCTGATAAAGAAAGATACTGAGATCAATTTTAGAACACAAATGCAAGAAAGTGAAACACTCAAAAAAAAAGAAAAAAAGAAGTGCTTACTCCAAACGATGTGCGCCGAATCTATCAGCAAAACGTTGGAGATGAGAAACAGAATTAGGGTCAAAACCATTAGCTGACGCGTGAGCAATAGCTGTGGTTAAGTCCTTCTTAATTGCATCAAGTCTTAAATCTATAGCTCTTGAGAGCTCCTTCCTGAATGTATAATCAAAGCAGAACAATCAGCAAAACACACACTTTGACGCTAATGTAAAAGCAGAGAGCTTTACTTACTTTGTTGCATCCGTTACACCTCCATCGTCTGAAACATGGAACAGAAAATTGGATCAAGTTTGGTCGTAAAAATTTTAAAATTTGATCCAACTATGGAGAAATTTAACAGACCCTGGGAATATAATGTCCGAGCTGCTTCCAACTGTGACATCTCCAAATCAAATGTATTGACTCTTTCCAAAACTTCTGGACTATTAACAAACTGAACAAATCTGGAAAAAAAAAAAGAGAATGAATAAGATTAACTAAGCTACTTCAATTCTTGTGTTAAAAAAGGAAAATCAAAATGTTTTTTTTAAACCTCTCGAGTGTTCTTCTTGTGAACCAGGATTTGTCATTTTCGTTTTTTCCTACTTCTGCTCTAAAAGAGGATTGTGATTTCAGAACACTCAGATGATTCACAAATGGTTCGATCAATCCCGAAGCCAGTTTCTCTGTTTCTCCATCACTCGATACAAACAGTTCGCATCTGTAACACACGGCGCATAAGATCTCAACATAGAAGAGCATAAGCATTCATACAGAACATTTCAGTCGGAGACTAAGATTTTACTCACCGCGAGTGTTTTGGCGAAAGCTCAAATATAGCATAGTCGAGAATGGTATCAGCCTTCATTTTCGCTAGACCGAAATGTGAATCATTCAACAGATGATAATATATCCGTGAGAGTAGTATGATTCAACATAAGAATCTCAAATCCACGCCAAGAAACCTGAGGAAGCAACAAGAGTAGAATGGACTTTTTATTAATCAACGAAATTGGCCAATCTCACGAGACTGGTAAGTACATAAATGTAGCAATAAAGATTTACCACACACAAAAACGAAACAGCATTCAATTTCAACAATGATAGTAAAACGCAGCTCCGTAACTATAAAACATAAATCGCCAGAAATTGAAACCGATGCTTCCCAGATCTGACCTCAACACTACAACCCAAATGAAAAAGAAACCAGAACTTGACACATCCGAGAGAAACCCAGAATTCAAATTCCAAAAATCATCCCTGGAACAAGCTGAATTATGCCATGATTGCAGATTCCAAAGATAAACTAATCAAAAGCACGCAACTTTAGCAGATGAAGAAGAAAACAGAATTTAATAAAGTTAACGAACTTACGAGTTACGACAGTAGTTCTTTGATCTCTCAAACTGAAGAAGAAATTTTTTTTCTCTCTCTCTCTCTCACACCCTCTCTGATACTGAAGATATAGAATGTGAAGCTCTAGAGAGAAAGAGAGAGCTTCCTTCGGACAACTTTCACCTTTATTTTTTCTCCGTCGCGTAACAGTCTGTAACTTAATGGGAAAATACGAAAGACTCAAAGAGTCGAGACGAAGATACCACTTATTATTATCTTACCAAATTACCCTCAATTAAACCGAACCGAAACAAACAACAACTAAACCCGGTTTCTAACATACAGAACTGATTTTTGTCAATTATGATAAATTAGTTCTATTTCATATAACTAAAGCTAAATGATCAATCAAACTCGCAAGAGATCCGATAGTACTAATTTGGATCGGCCAGTGGAATTCCCATACTTGGTATTGGTCCTATTGGAAGTGATTTATTAGGATGTGGGCAATTTTGTAATATCAGCTCAGTAGGAGAGATGTGGTCAAGGCTCTACTATGTGGACCAAACATCCAATTATCGGATTTTAACGGTAATAAACTTATTTGGGGAAACAAAATTATAAATACGATAAAAGAGACAACGAAAGTCGCATATATATTTTTGTTTAATTTTGTCAACCTCATATCGTTTTATTGTTGTTTTATGGGAAACTATTTCTCTATTTTTTGTGAAATTTCCTTGTAGAAGTCCAAAATTTCGTACATTTTATTTATCCACTTAGTTGAAAATTTTCATTTTCAATGTAGGGGGGAAATCCATCGTCTCATCAACATATATAAGAATATAATAGCTATTATTTTGAGTATTTACTGATATTTATGTAAATCGTGAGTAATAATAATACTACTATAAAGCTATTTTCATTGATCAATAAAATCAATGAGTTCTGTTTCAACCTAAACAAAAATAGTTTTATAATACATTTTCCCCTTAAATTATACAATATATATATGTTAATGTAACATACGATTTTCAGTTATTATTTTTACAGAAAATCATGGAATAATTATTAACAAAACACGTGAAGTGAACCTTCACGCGTAATTTTATTCTTCTCACTTTTAACAAAAGAAAAAGGTATTATTCTTCACATGCAACATGAAAGATCAAAATATCGTTCATTAATGCCAAATTGAGTGTACGTCGTCTATGTTTTCCAATTAATATGCTAACATCAACATGAAATTAGCGGCTAATCCCTTTAACATTGAACACCTTATGGAAGTATTTTGAGGCAACTAATCATAGTAAAATAAAAAATTAAAAAAGTAATCATAGTAATTTGAAGAAATTATATATTTTCTATCTACTACAAAAGGAGCGTTTAGTGACCAAAGATGCTTCTAGATTGTCGGTATGACATAAGAGCTTCGGCACATGCGACATGTTCCTCTCATTCTCTTTCCTTTTTTCCTTTTGTCCCATGTGTCGTCGTCAATAATTAATCTCTCTTTTTAATCTTCATGCGAAACTTAATATTAATATATTGATTGATTACGTTTATAACTTTGACGATCAAAATCAACTTAATTGATTACTTATAACAAATAAGCGTATTTGATCTTTTGGCATACTGTACTGACAATACCTAATTGAAAACGTTGAGGGGAAAAAGAAGAAATAAAAGCAAACCGGTTGATATCTAAAATTATAAACCATCACTACTCCAAATGATGGAAGCAGGAAAATTCGGACGTATACGGAAATCAAATCCTCGTTACAACAAAGAAAGAGTATATAAACTCAAATGCATAAAATTGCTCTCAAAAGTCTACTTATTATCTGATTACTCTCTCGATAAACCGGAAAAGAGAAATTAAAAAGGTTTAGTTTCCCAAACCAAACATTGTGCAGCTTTTTTTCTTCGCCGTGGACCACACAAAACCAACCCGGGTGGTTTAGTGGGTCCCGGTATCCACCGAAACAACCGCATGATCAAGCGACTATGTACAGAAAAAAGGGAAAATAAATCCAATGAGTAGATCCAACGGTACAGATTGGACAGTAAAGAAAACAGCTGTACAAAATGGGCCCTACCATCTGACGAACCGGTGATTACACGTGTGTCTCTATCAAGAGAAGGGAAATGAATAAATAAATATTGTAAGCCGCCCTCCGTTTAGGGTCCAACTAGGTTTATTACGTACTGAAAACATATAAACCTCATTATTTTGCAAGTTTACAATGGAAACACGTCGTTATACAATTTTATGTAATTTCTTCGTTTCCCACCAATTTAGTATTACCATACTCTCTCTTATTCAATCACGATACTACTATCGTTTTTAAGTACTGTATAAACTAGTTGACCAGAAAGGATAAACTAAAAAACACAAGGTTAATAATATCCCTTTTAAATTTGTGTGTCGATTTATTATTTGATGACATACTAAAACATTGCTCAGAGTGATGACGACCGACTAAAGTTCAACAATCTGTTGTCCATCGAGTATGAACTCCGGCCTGGTTTTTACAAAGCTAAAAAGCCAAGAACATACTAAAACATCATATAATGTTCACACCGTTCATGGCGATCTCAAGGCTTTGATAGAGTCAATTTCAACTCGGAAATCACCTGCTCCTGATTTAGCTCCAACCGCACCACCTTCTGCGTTTACCGATAGTGACATACCTAGAACACGCCCTTGATTCATCTCCATCTCCACATCGATTACATTTCCTTTCCATGTCGGCAAGTATCGAGCTAGAGGGATCTGATATATTTACACTCTCGTTACTAAATGGCCTTAGGCTAGAAGTGAAACATTCAACTTAAATTCATCATAATCGCCATCTGTCTTTTTGGTTGGTTATATTTTCATCTAAAAGAGGTTTTTATCTAAAGAGTGATGTGTATAATGCTCTAAAAACTCTTTCTTGGTAACATCTATAGAGGTAAGACTTGCCTTAGCGGTGTACCAACTGTCCTTCGGAGCAAAAACAAAAGCTTGCCACGAGTTATCTTCTGCTTGTCCCGGTGAGTTCACCCAGTTTTCGGTATAGATCTGAATCAAAAATCAAGGTTTAGTATACCAAAAACCCTTTTGTGACTACAACCAACGTTTGTTGTTTCACTTGGAGTAAAGGAGAAAAGGTGAGTATAAGCATGAAACTTACGGTGGAGATATAACACCTTCCATCTCCTCTGAGTCTCAGGGCTATTGCATCATACCCGTCGAGATCAATGAAGCCATCAAACTGCAAAAGCAAAAAGAATGTAGAGTTAGTTGGAACAGTAACGCTCAACTGACTCACAAAGTCTTCTCGTTACAAAAACAAGATGACAATTTAGTAACCCGTTTTTCATCCTGTCTTCAAACAATGATTGTATGTAAAAGTATTATTTCGATTAAGAAGGCTCTGTAAGAAGAAATGAAGCTGAGAATTGTTAACCTTCTTTGAGCGCATTCCACAGAAGCCACTCCGACTCATCTTCCACTTTGATCCCTCACTAATGTCTACGGAAAGGTTCCCCGAGAATATTCCTATAAACGATATTTGGGTCAAAAGCATCACTAAGTGGAGCAGTGTAGTAAACATAATGAGACATTAAGAAACAACGGTACCATAACAAGGAAAAGATCTCGTTTTTTATTGATGAACTTAAAAACAGCGAATGATAAAAAGGCAGATAAATCAGCGAAGAAACTACTATTTTGCTAACCAGTGCCACCAGAACCATTTCCTCCATCTGGGATCTCCAAGGAAGCCGAAGATAAACCTGTAAAATAATTATCAAACATGTTGTCACCAAAATGCATAACGAATTGTTCCCTTGTCAATTAAATTCTATGCAATGGGAGTCTTATTTTGTCCCAGTAGTTGTTGATATAAATCAACTAAATCGTGGAAATGAAAGGGAAAAATAAAAGAAAAATATTAGACACTCTTTACCGAGAAAATGCTTGAACCTGTCTACTTAAGTACCTCCATATTCAGAATCAGAATAGAGATGCCATTTCTTCAAGTCTTCTTTCGAATTGAACTTAAATATAGTCTTCTCTGCAGGTGGTACCCATTCTTCAACGTTCCACGTAAGAGCTAGCAGATAGAAGAGTGGTGAAGATATGTCACAAAATAGCACTCCCTGCTACATTCAAAAGCATAAAGGCTACTAGAGAAATATAAAGGTAATCCCAAAAAGCTTATTTTGTCTTGGAACATAAAACCAACGTCATTTTTTTCCTCAAACATCACTTGCTATCAGTCACTAAGTATAAGCACAAGCAAGAGTTGAACAAAAAGGAAACATCAACACACGAACAGGAAATTAATAGAGTACGAGCCATCATAAAAGTAGCAAGTGAATATACCCTTCTTTGTTGCATTTACAGAGGCTTGCAACAATGATCGAAACCTTGACATGTCGCTGTATCTGCTTTGCATGTGAAAGTGAAGAAAACGTGTATAAATATAAAACATTGATTGTTACGAATTAACGCTCCTATTTTCAATGTCAATCACCAAATTACACACACGAAGACTCTATGATCAGAACCACACTCCAACAAAGCATGTAAGATAATATATCCTTGCAAAAGTTAGCTATATCAGAACTTCACGCATAACAGACAGAAAATACAACTGCATAGGCCTAAATCGATAGTGATGTGATTCAAGGTACCTTCAGGAGCCAAAGCTAAGACCTTATCCAAGAACATATCAATACAGAGTTAATGAGGAGCCAACGGTTTCCAATACACCAGCGAATAAGACTATTTACCCACTGAGGCATTTCGACAAACACCTTGTATGCCAAACATTAGATTAAGTCATCACAAGCGTAAAGAGAAAACAATACAAGTATACAACTTGCCGCCACATTCTTCAGAAAAAAAAAACCCGACACAAATCACAGAATCTATAAAAGGATTGCCATTTAATCATTTGCTAGTCCGAAATTTCTCAGGAACAATAGAAAGAATACTTAAAACATGAAGATCTGATAATTAGTACAAGCGAAATGCTTACAACACACAAATAATTATCTCTATTCTTTGGATTTTCGCTAGAAAAAAGCAGCGAGTAACGCAGTAACTCACTCACTGGAATTTCCGTCACCGTCGCGACCGTTGCACAATCAGCGTCGGTCACCACCGATAAGCGGCAGTCAAACCACCAAGAAGCACGTCGTCGTTCTATCATGCGCTGCGTTTCATGATACAAGTCTTCTATAATGGGCCTATTTGGGCCAAGTTCTCAGTTACAGCCTTAAAAAAGTATGTTAAATCGGTGAGATAGTCAAATGAACGAATATATACTTCACTTAAAGCTAATAATAAAATTGTTCACCGTTTGAAAGATTAGGCAACAATATAAGAACTACATTACTTGACACGAGGATCTGTGGTGTAAAGAACTACATAATATGGATAGTTTATTTATTATGACACCATGATTTTTTTCTAGGGCATATAATACATTGTGAAACTCGGACATACAATTATAAAGTTATTATATACTAGTATTACAGTATGTTTTTATTATTAGTTTGAATTACTTCTTCCGTGACAATAATTTCTGCCACTAGAAAGGCAAGTAGGACCGTGCGTGCAATTGGATGGCCATGCGCGTCATGTGGCGGCGGTTTTTATTCTTTCGAAATACTATGATATATGTACATCGACAATCATTAGAACATCAGTTTTATCATGAACTACAAATGGTAATTTTATTTATCAAGGGAAGATGTCCTTGTTAATTAAGAGTGCCAAAACTCAAAAAAAATTGCTCGACGAAAAAAAAAGCAAATGAAATGTTTCGTGACCGCATTGGATCATGTTGAATCAAATCAAAATTATCAATCAATCTATATATATATATATATATATATATATAACAAGAAAAATAAGTATATATCGTCGTTAATAAGTGTAGAACTCAGCCAACTCCTCGACGGATCCTCTTTCGCGATCATCATTATCATTGCCCTGATCGGAGCAACTGTTTTTGAGCATCCATAACAAGTGCTCGAACAATACGACTTCGCAAGCTACTAAAACTGTCTTTTGATCGTGCCGTTCTTCGATGAATCTTGAAGATCGATCAAGTAGTTCCTGGAAAAGCGGATGGTCGATGACGTGTGAATTAAGCATGTAAGGTCGTCGAGACTTCCCGACGTAAACCATTTGAAGATCGTCGCATTTTGAGACCTCAGAGACGGCGGTCGAGGCTGTGGACACGGAGGTTGAGTGGTGGTTCTTGGTGAAGGAAGGCCATTTCTTCATGACCGACTTGAGTTTTGTTAGCTTCCCAAATTTAGCCATTTGTAAAAATTAAATCTTTGATTTTGAAACTGAAGGTTTTTTAAACCAAAAGAGGCTAATTAAAGAGAAAAAACAAATATTGGATGTTTTCTTGAAATTTGGGTTTGGGTTTCTGTTGTGTGTGTGTGTATCAAGAATTAGTCTGGAAGATGACAAAGTTACGTTTTTGGGACGTAAGAAGGAAGAATTAGATTCATTTGTATTTATACTGAGAGATATAGGTAGAGAAAGTAAAGGGGAGCAGTTTATGAAGATAAAGGGTACAGAATCCGTAAATCTAGTGTCCCCTTTTGCTCTCAGTTATCATATTTATATATTATATTGTATATATGTGTGTGAATGCATGTTGATACGTGGTACGCGTGTGGGTGGGCTGGACGGACAATCTCCTACTGTTGTGTGTTGTTGTTTAATGATCGGACACAACTTGTGGAAGGGAAGCTAATAATTGAAGGAACTTTAGAAACACTTTTATAAAATGGTCCAAACTTTATCTATAAATAGTTTACGTCAAGAGAAATCAAATAATGAAAATTATAACCCCCCCCCCCCCCCCCCCCCCCCCCCCCCCCCAAAATCACAAGTTCATTACTCAAGTTGATTAGTATTAGAAATCACTGTGATGATTTATTTAAACACGAATCCAGGATATAAAGTTGTTTATAAAAGTAAACGCAAATAATAGTTGCTTATGTGCATTTGACCTTAATAGATTTCTTAAAATTAATTATATGCTATAAATGGTAGCATACTTTCAACATTGAAATTTACATATATAAACTTCGAAACTATAAATTACTGTATAAATTTTTTAAATTAAGAACCCGTATATTCTGATGTGTAACAACACAAGTTACAACCATGGTCCTAGACAATGTAGTAGGTATTTATTATTTAACATACAATCTCTATTGATTGAGCTTTTATATTGTTTTGTTGAATCCAGCCTTTTCGAACTGAATTTGAATACGAAGAATATAACTGTGTTTTTTATGTATGTTATAAAGATCGGACAGCTATTGTTTTTGGTGGGAAAACAATTGCCAGCCAACAGCCAACAGAATCAAAATATTTAATTAAAATAAAATAAATAAAATACTCTGAACAAACAAGTTAGTTGCAAGAGCAAACAAGCCAGTTGGGACTTGGGATGTTATTGTTAGAGAGTGCGTAACACTTGTATCAATAGACTTTTTCTTCGTCTTTAGATTAAAATACATTAATCCATAGAAAATTGTTTTGGTCCAGATTTTTGTTACAAATCGGTCGGTCTCGCGAAAAAATGTCGATTTTTTTATATTAGGTAAAGAATATTACGAAGCATATTGTGTTGCTTGATAGGGCATTACAATCGGTTCCTAGCTTCATGCGACATGGAGATAAAAACTAGGGTTCAGAAGAGATCCCAGCGCCATTTCGCATGTGATGTATTTATTTTGTTGATAATCTATCAATACAATGCGACATGGTGTGTGTTCCAACTTCTAATCACATTATCACAACACAATTTATTGCAGTTCAAGAATTGGGCCGTAATAAATTACGAAGAGAAAGAAACAAACCAAACCCTCTATATACGACAAAAACAAAGAAATCAATTTTTGTGGGTGAGTGATGAGAAAAGGAATGTAAACAGTTTTGGTAAGGAAAATAAAATTTAAAAAACAAGAAAACGGGACCTTTACAAAGCTGAGTCCGGATATTTACAAGATGCGGCTGTTACTGCTGTTTATTATGTCTGACCAACCCTGCCGTAGGAGACAAGTAATCAGCGTTACCTTCCCTTGCAAGGCACAGTTTCTTCTCCAAATCCTTTTACAATGCTCTTCCGGAGGCAACCCACCGAGTGAAATCATTTGAGAAGCCAGGTACTTTTTCGGTGACATCTCTTGGAGGAGACTGTAACGATGGGAAAATTCCGACCTAGTCAGTAGTGTCTCTGTTTGCGAGAAAGATTACAAGTAACTTGAATAAGAACGATATGGTGATGAAGAATTTACCTCAGAACTCATGTTCGTATTAGTTCTGGAAGTGACTGATTCTTCCAGGTCGGTGAAGAAGTTATCTGACGACATTGAGCTGAAATAAACATTTAGAGCAATATTACCACGGCTTATATATACAAAGCAAGGTTTATATGTCTGAGTACTGTAAATGGGTTTGCAAGGTGTCCGTTCTTATGACAGGGTGTTAGCGCGGTTTAATGTATCAAAAATGCCATCTAGTAACCATTACCATGTATGTACATATAATGATGAATATTTTTACCTGTAACGTTCAAATATTTCTTCTGCTGGAGTGAATTTAGTTTGGTACGAGTGTCCAAAACCAGGTATATCTTCGGGCCTGTGAGAGTCAGCATTAGAGCTACTGCCTGGAAGCACCTGGCTTGATCCTGCTCCTCTCAAATGATCTTCATTGCGCATAACCGAGCTGAAGCTGAAGATGTTATCAAAGAGGAAGAATGAATCAAAAAAAGAGTTAACAATCAATGCTTGCGACAAGTTCATAGAGACTCTGAGATTCATATACCTAAAAGAAGCTGCTTCAGTTTCATAGAATGGGAACTCTGAATTGGTTTCCGAGATGCCACCGTTTAACCCTTCACGTGAAGGCTGAGGAATTTCTTGTGCCAGCTCCTCCAGATTCAAATCAACGTCCATGAGAATGTTATCGGAAAAGGATCTCCTAATTAGTGGCCTGCACAGTTCATATAGTGTATTGGAAGATAAATTAATATGTTGACGTTATATATCAACTTCAGACTAAGTTCTGCGTTGAATTATGCTGGTTTTTCAGCGAAAATAGGTACCTTATATTTTCAATATCTAAGTTAGAACTAGTTCTTCCGATGTTGTGCTGGTCAGGATCTAACTCCCATATTGCTGGGCTCTCTAACTGAGGTTGGAAATGGCCCAAGAACCTGTCGAAAGAAACAATATTTTAGATACTAAACCAACACTCATATCTAGTTAAAAGACAGGAAAAATCTTTAAATATTCTTGAAATGGAGCTTACAAATTGATGGCGTTCTGCTTATGGCTGTCCTGATAAGCATTATTATAGTGACGAGTCAACGCAATGATGATCTCACGAGGCCTATCCACCACGTTTCGATTACCTCTCAGATCACTGAACATCTGTAAAACCAAAAAAATTCTAAAGTTGATATACACATTATTTAAAGATCCATCTAAAATCTACTAGAAAAAATGTGTTGGGAGTCAAAATCACCTTGCTGTGTGCTTCAGAGCCACCATATTGCAACGCAAGTGTATCACCCATGTTTTGGTAAGTATCCATCAAGCTTAACGCCAAAGGATTGTTAAGATCTACGATAGGGGGACCTGTAACACCCAATGTTTGCAGCTGCTGATCAAGAGCTACTAATCCAAAGGCGTACTGAGCAAAGTTAGTCCGATCCAAACAGTCGATGCAGTTGGTCCTCAAGACTCCATTTTGATTCTTCAAAGCTTCATTATTTGAACTACTTGCCTCCTCATCTTGACTCGGAATAGGGTTACTGGAGCATGGTGGCATTAGTATTAAAACTTACCAAAATAACGTGCAATATAAATTCAAAATTACATGTATTCGAGAGATGGACTAGTAAAAAGTACAGCTAGTGTTACACAAGAAGTACATTTTGAGAATACATATCATACAAAACTTACTCGTAAAAGGACTCATTGACTACTCTTTCAGCTCCTACACCTGAAGGAGCTTCACAGTAAAACAAGTCAGTCAACCCCAATGCTTTCCTTGCAAAGATGCATAACCTGGTGAATGCATCATCTACACCACTGCAAAAATCAAAGGGAAAATGAGTAACAATTTTTAAGATGCAACACTTATTAGAAACCAACCCACAAATATCTGCGGTGCATAATTGCACTACCTTCTATAGTGTTTACTCAAATCAAAATGAATTGCATTTAAACGGTCCTCGACTTTCTTGTCTTTGTTGATATGTAAGATTGCCTTTGCAAACTCTGCCCGCAAAATGGTTTCTCGACGCTTTCTCTCACTTGACTGATAACAAAAAAAAAAAAAAAAAAAAGTAACACTCAGTCTTTCAATATCCAATAAAATGAGGAATGTAATAAATGTGAGTTGTTCTAGAAAATGGGAAAGTCTACCTTGAGAAGATTCAAAATGATTATGTGTTCCCCATATCTTTGCCTTAGATTCTTAAAATGTTGTTGGGTAGCCCCATAATTCTCCTCTTTCTTGTATACTGCGACTCAAATTAAAAAGACAGAAAGTGGAGTGTTAAGATACGAAAGACGTAAGGATACTTTTGCTATATAATGCATATGGCCGCCCATACATATAATCTCGGGTTGTGGGTTGAACAGAGATGTCGCCTGTGACCAAAATAAGGGTATGGAGCCTCGATGCTGCACAACTGATGTTATCGGGATTGGTTGACCCTCTGGAACCTCTCTGGAAACAATCTGCTCTGTCTCAACGTCATTGGCTACTCTGCCTATATTGTTTACGCCACGCCTTAAGTATCTGCTCATTACCAGGGAGGAAGATAAGAAAGCTTGTAGTTAAGAGCAGAGGCAAAGAGTGTTGAAACAGACATTTACGTTACGGAGACATTAACAGAGAAAAATAAAAGAAAGGAAGATTATCAACTAATGTTTTTCAAGATGAACAAGTACCTTGTACCAGCATAATGCCGTGAACGCCGAGCAATGACAGTCAATACAAAATCTTCACCAGACACGGAGCATTTAGTCTGGACAAAGCAAAGGAAACGTAGACATTAAGGTATTTTTATCTTCTGATGAGTTATTTAGATTAGTAAAAGTTTTTGCATTTGATTAATACCTGTTGAAAGAATCCGTATATCAATGCAACAGTCCATATGGTATTGCGCAGCACCCTTCTGATGGTGCGTGTTAAATGTGCGTTCCACACGAACATGGTGTTGTCGTGAGTGTTTCCTCTCTCAGTGTTGCGTAGGTTCTTCTGAAGGCAATACATGAGGTGATACGTGTAGCTGAAGTAGAAGTTTTTGGTAAGATCCATCATGCTTAGGAGCCTCCTGTACCTATAACAGAAGAGAGGGAAACATGTCGCATATCGATATGTGTTCTGCTTAACTAAATATACATAAGAGAGTTACAAGAATTATCTCGAATAAATAAAATACTTTCGCTCGTCTACAGAAACAGCCACTCTCGTCTGAACGGAAGGATTTGGAATCACGATCGTTTGACTCTCGGCTATACCGTAAATCGTATGGCCGCAGATCTCGCCGACTTTCTTCTTCTTGGTTATGACCAGCATGTAATAGGGCTCCAAGAATCTCACAAACCCTGCACCCCAAGAATCAACGTTAATTATTGCTCCATGATGAGTCCAACCAAAAACAGTGAGAGAAAGTGAAGAGGATGTACGTACCAATGATGCCGTAGCAAGTTGTGACTGGTTCGAGCCCACCATGCCTCCTGTTGCCTCGACTTATCCATCTTTTCAGTTCGCGCATTTGCGCATTTGTATACCATGTGGGATCTTCAAACAAGTTTAGCTCGGTTCGGTCCGTTCGATCAATCTTAAGAATCCTCCGAAAGCTTTTGCTCTCGTCTCTCCCAATCAAATAAAAATTCTGCACAAACAACTCATTTCTTTCACAAAACTTCGGACCAAAAAGGTAGTGATCTCGAATTAAACATATATCTTGGATTTTTTAAAACTAAAATCCATAAAGTGATTAACAGGTTGAAATATTTCAATTATACAAAACTTAAAACCAAAGACACTACATTATGTCAAGCTAAAGCGCTCGTGCTTTACACTTCATCCATTTGAAACCACCAAGCAAAAACGTAAAGACATACTAATCGAATCAAAATCGAACCATTTTTACAGAATTTGAATCCAAAACCGGGAAATTATGATATTAAGTCAAAACAAAATCAAAATCCATAAACTATAAATGAGAGATCACATTGGTGCGAATCAGTAAAGAGAATACGAACAATAATAAGGTTCACATAATCACAGATCATAATCGTACGGACATTAAAAGAGAGAGGAGAAGTGATATTTTACCGAGGGAGTTTTGTAGAGCTTGAATTTGGTAAGAACGGGCAAGTTAATCAGTTTGGGCCTCGGGTCAACCCGAGGCTCCGATCCCATCAGACCAGGCAAATCTGAAATTCCGAACCGGAAGAGAGCTCGGAGCCGGTTTGAGACCGATTTCGAAGAGGTCGATACAGAGAAACAGCCGAACCAGATGAGATAAATAGAGCGTGAGGGAATATAGTAGAAATCAAAATCGAATTTCGCAGAAGTTTCTCAAAATTTGAGAAGAAGAAGAAGAAGAAGATAACGACGACCAAAGACGATTCGATGAAGAGGATAGAAGAGTGGAGCCGTCGAGGAAGAGAGAAGAAGAGACCTGTTAAAAAGGTAAAAAACTAATTTAGTTTCTCCTCTTTTTTTTTGTTTGTTTACCTTTTCGGCGCTAAATCGACTGTATTTATAACCTTTTGATACGCGGCCGTTTTGAAGTATCTTGTCATAAAAGTCTTTTTTTTTTTTTTCCTTCTTCTGATACATTAAATTATATATTTAGTAAAAAATTAGCTCAAATTGAAAAGCTACTTTTCACCTTTTGTCTTTGTCAAATATATACGTACTTTAAAATCTAGACTATAGAAACTATTAGAAAGGTTATCTGCTTTTGTTTTTTATTCAGTGGTCAGTTTGAGAATCATTTTTCCCTAATTTCCCAAATCATTCTTTTAACAAACTGGAAGATCACAGTAAAACTATAATTTACCCGGATCTAAGTAAAAATATAGATATCCATTAGTTGACACATCACTTTTCGGTTTACGATGGAATGGCGTAGAGAGATGCACGCTAAACACATGGGAGAGATTGGGTCCACATAACATCATTAATATTTAATTCACGATCGATGATTAATTCTTACTATATATATATATATATAGTTATTTAAGGGTTTGCAAATGATTATTCTTTGTTTACATTAATATTGTCCAGCCTGCGATACACAAATTCGACTAGTTCTAAAATGAAGTAGAATAATCAGTTTTATAAATGAAAAAAAAAATTGATTCCTAGCTCAACCGAGAAGATTATGACATAAAAAGAGTAAAAAGTGAAAAGCTTATAACAAAAAAAAATAGCTTCAATTTTGTTATGATTCTGGAAAGAACCAAAAATTGCGAATTAAACAGGGATTGATATTCTTGATTAGTTATAAATTTTCTATCATAAACACAAATTGAACGCGCAATGGCCGACCCGTTCGTTAGTTAGGATCATTAAGCCCTCTAAATGATGGACATGTGGTAAGTATAACCATATATTATATAGTATATACGCGATTAGTCTTCTGTTTATTTTAATACTACAAAACTGGCAAAACAGCCGCCCTGGCTAAATGTGAACAATTCATTCGATGCCTTATTTATTCTTTGAGTTGTAGATATTAAAGAAGACTTTTCATCAATTTCCTTGTGTAAGAAGTAAGAACTTATTTCCAAATACATTATTTGTTTACGGCCCATGATTTTGGAAGAAAGCTACAAACTAGGGGATAATTGTAGGTAAAAACCAGTTCAAGGTTGAAAGATTTGTCATGAAATAGTTTAATATAATCATTGTTGATCACGAAATTATATTCTCCTACGATTGTGGATATGATCACCGTTTGCATCTTTCCGAATAAAAAAGCTTAAATCTTGTCATCAAACTGATTAACGTTCGTAAAATTCTAACTTTTAAATTGCTAAATCATATTTGCCAATACGGATAAGATCACCCAACAATTTTTTTTTTTTATCTAAGGTTACTAAGAATTGCAAATGTAATATAAAGTTTCTACTTATAAAATTTTAAATTTACGTCACTTGAGTATAAAAAAAATACAAATTCAAAGAATGTAATGTTATATGATGGCCGACTGATGATGATAGCTTGGCAATGACTTAATCCACTCAAACATCCAGAAACGTCTTACGAAACTCATGTTAATTGGTATTATCGCGTAAACAGAATTTAACGAAGACTTAAAAAACAAAACAAAAGTCAATATTAAAACGACCTTTTAAAAAAAAAAAAAAAAGACCGACTCTGGCGTCAGGAAAAATGAGAAAAAATAAAGACTGGCGTTATCATTAGCAATTTAGCATTGTCAAACGAAAAACGCAATTATTAGCAAAATTAAATAGCTAAAAGCAATTTTTATATATAAAAATTGACCACGAGGACGGTATAGAATTTTCAATCTGTTTTGAATATAAACCACATACTAGTCGGTTTGGTCTGGTACAGCGTACTCATTTAGGTCCGGGTAAGACTAAGTAACCGGTTAAAACACATTTTCTTACTCATTCAAGCTCTCCCATCCCATTCCTCATAGAACTCATTAAGAAACTCTTCCATGAACTTGTGTCTTTTCTCTGCCCTCCTTTTACCCGCCTGATTTTTGTTTTTCTTCTCGATCAGTCCCACGTTTAAATCTTAAATCGAAACAAATTTAGGCGTTTTATAGAATTGTTTTCCGGGTAAATCTTACATCGGTTTTCATCAGATGCTTCAGCTTGAGGAGTTTCTCATGAAAGTGATTAATAGTCGTTTGCTCCTCTCTCTTCATGTACTGCTCTTTGGTTAACTCTGTCCGGGGCTTGACCTCAGGATCATGAAGCACTCTGTTCCTGCTTCCACCAAATGTAAAGCAACGAGCAATCCCTAAAAACCAAAAGAGATCCACAGAACAACCAAAGACGACATGAATCGAAGCAGATATCTGGCAAAGGCATATCAAAAGCTCTTGAACTGTCGAGAAGCAAGCTAAAGACAAGAGAAGCATTCTAACCAATGGCGCCAATTGCATCAAGGCGATCAGCATCTTGAACTACCCCAAACTCTGGAAGAGATTCGCAGAGTGCTAGCCCTGATAATTCGTCTTTGAAACCTGGAAACAATACACTTGCTCTGTTCACATATTTAGATGCAACGGAATGCTTTTTCTACAAACTCCTAGTGAAAACTCATGCGAGTTAGTAGTACAATGGGAACTGTTGAGTAAAAGCTGGAAACTAACCCATTCCATTGATGATCTTTAGTATCTTCATCTTCTTGGTCTCTTGTACACCCTCCTCATCTAGGAAATTCTCAACGAGTTTCGCTTCCGAAGGGTCTCTGAAGCAGCATGTCAGGGGCAGAAAACCAGTATTCATGGTTCATAGTTCAGAAACTTTAGATTCTTTTCCATGTCCACACAACGCTCCACTTAACCTATCCTAAGGTGAGCAAACCCGGAAAGGGATTTCTCACAAACCTCATCTAATGGCATCCAAAACAGCATTTGCTAACAGATGGAATCTAGCCAGAGGTTATAGCCAATTACGAAGAGTGTATTTATTCATCCAGGTTGGTTCAAAGAAAGTTAAATGCAGGGAACTTTTTAGAGAGTTTAAACACTTGTTTTCGTGCAAGTATGATCAAGAATGTTGCAAGGGACGTTTACTCTACTCAAGCTGTTCAAAAGAAAAGTAGAATTGGAGGAACAAACCTTATGTACTTGTAATCACCTGATAATAGGGAGAGAGCAAGAGATACACAGTATGATTGATCTGTGGACAAGAAACACATGATTTAAAGAAATGAAGAAAAATTTCCCAAAGGAAGTACCTATGTCATGGAGAAGAGCTGCAAGCTCCACCTGCAAAAATCAACAGAAATGGTTCAACCAAAGTGAAAAAGAAATGAAATTTCACAAGAGACATCTCAATATCTCATATCAGAAGGAGATTTTTCAACCATATTATTACTAATGAGACTTCATTCATCCTCACTGAACTAACACGATGCATAAATCGATGACAAACGGATGGGTTTAAGGGATTTAGAGGCTTTTTAAACTCACAATTTCCATGGAGTCAGAGTTGGAAGAGAGACCCTCCTCGCGAGCAATGGAGAGAGCAAGGTCTCGGACCCTCCACACGTGCGAGGCGTCATGAGAAGCATCGTTTCCCTTCATCACCTTCTCCACCAGCTCCTCCGCCTTCCTCTTCGTCGTCGTCGTTGCCGCAGCCATTTCTCTCGAGAGTTTGATTTCTAGATTTCCGAAATTGGCTGCTTTCTCGGCGACGATGACCACCGGGAGTCGAAGAAATCGGGGAAGAAAAAGATTTGTGTGTTTTTAAGTTTTATTTTACTATTTTACCCTTACTTATTAAAAAGACAAATTGAAAGAGAACTTCTCTAGCTGAAGGAGTATTTGCTAATTGACCCCCTTAACTTTTCCTTCTTTACATTAATAACCAACTAATTATTTTAGACGGGAACAGTCCGCCTCTAGCTGACCAATTAGTGCTTATGCCTTTATTTGGTAAATATGCAAATGCCAGCAGTAAAAAAATCCGCAGCTAAATAATAGATGCAATAAAAAGCATCATCACTTCCCAACAATGAGACAAAGTGTCCTTTCATATGATTTTTTTAACACATTTTTTCTATGTTCGATGATCTCGTTCTAGTATATATGAACTATATTCTTAGTACGTAACGACCAAAGCAAATCCAAACTGATCACCATCTTCTTATACAAACATTCATATAAATATAATATCTTAAGATTTTATTTTTTTATATTTAATTAGCTGACTAATTAAACTAAAATTAATACCAGCTAAACTAAACCGCCATATTTTGTCACTGACCATTGATCAAAATTCTAAAGCAATCAATTAAATTTGAAGGACGCCATTAATCACTAAATTATTGTGAGTCATTGAAATGATTTGATCAACCTGTCATTTAGCATCCTAATTGGGATAAGTAAATGTTAAGCAACAAGGTGTGAGAATTTATTTATTTATTATTGTGTTATAAAGACATTGCATGATATTAGATTAAATCATTTTGAAGAACTAATTCTTATACACTAGTTTTATCTTAATTAGATTTTTTTAAAATATGTCAAAATGTTATAATTGATACAACACGTCATATAAAATTAAAATATAAACTTATATAATAATATACTATGCAATCACAATTAATTCTTCAACGAATGAGTAAAATGGGAAATAGTATCTCGAACATATAAATGTTTCTATAAATTTGCACAAGACTAGGGTTGATATGGAATGATTCCGTAGCATGTTAATTAATTGGAAGTGGATGTAATATCAAAATTACCATAAATGAATATATTTTCCTTTATTACCAACCCATAAAAAACACCTATATATGAATACCACTTTCAAGAAAAACCCTAAAGATATTTCCATCCCTCCCTCTCGATTAGTCATGGAAAACATGAGAGAAACTTCATCGATTGCTTTCTTGACGCCCAAGGATCAACCCCAAACCCCCAACGCGTTGGTTGGGCAGTCCAAAAAGGAGTTATCAGCAAAACCCACAAAAACGAGCCGTGGTCGTCAGAAGATAGAGATCAAAGAGATCGATGTAGTCAGCAAGAGACATGTGACGTTCTCGAAACGACGCCGCGGCCTGTTCAAGAAAGCCGCTGAATTGAGCGTTCTCACCGGCGCAAAAATCGCGGTCATAACGTTCTCCCAATGCGGTAGGATCTACAGCTTTGGCCACGTGGACACATTGATCGACAAGTATGTGCGTAAGATGCCGGTGAATTTGGAGTCATATCGCGGTGATGACGAGACGGAGGAGCAAGGAGACCCGTGGTGGGTGCGCCCGGTGGAGAGTGTGCCGGAGGAGGATTTGGAAGAGTACGTGGCATCGTTGAGCAAGTTGAGAGAAAATTTAGGTCAGAGGATCATTGAGATGAGCAATATGGATCGGACGGTTGAGGTTGTTCCGTCATGGCCACTCAACATGATGGGTTGGAAACCGACGATGGATATGCAAAGCATGGAAAATATGACGGATGGTACTTCCCGGATCCGTATTGGTCAAAACGGGTGATTGATTAGTCACCCGTTAAGTATTCTCCTTTGATTGATATCTTAAGTATTTGAGTTTTAGTTCTTGATCGAGTTTAGTGGTCTTAATTTATGCCATTCAGATTGATTCATTGTTTTCTTGTATACTTACTACTTTGAAAGTTATGCCATATTTAGGTATTTGTTTGAATTATTAGTCTCCGGACCATATAGATAATGTAATACTTTATTGAATCAGTTAAAGGCAACTCATACTTTTATCTTTTTTCCTTGATTTTTGATTTACCGTAAATCACTGATCCATAATTTAGGGTGGTGCAATAAGATGAAACCAAGTCTAATCAAATACACCTAAACAATTATATGAAACTTAATTGCCGATCCATCCTTTTAAAGAAGTATCAACTTGATTTGTTTTTTCCCCCACAAAAACTACAGATATTTTAATTTAGTAGTATAGAATAGTAATTTGTATTAGTTCTGCCGAGGCCGTGAACTAGTGATCTAAAGAAAATTATAATTTATCAGCAAACTCATAATTCTGTCCAACTTCAAAATTTGGCTTCTTTTCCACTTGCAAGTTATGTAAGGACTCTTCACGAAAAAGTTACAAGCATAAATCATAATTTAGTTCACAATTAAGTTACAAGTTATATCCATCTCATACTAATTCGTTGGAAAAAAAAACATTGTTTTGCCTTATATTGTAATGTTTTTCTATTAATATACAATACCGTCGTGCACGATACTGTTATTTAAAATTATAGCAAGTTAGGTTTTATTAGTGGTAAGTATTTTCTTTGCCCCACATGACATGTACGTACGGCATTGCTAGCCAACTAGGAGAGTGGACTTCCTCAAGGAAGTTAGGTTTATCATTTATGTAGTTTTTGTGAAAAAATAATCTAAAAGTTTAAAACGGCTTTTCTGAGACATAATATAATTCTCTGAAAACAAGACTTTGAAACAAGGAAAAAAATGCAAAAGAGTTCAACAATGATTTAATATGTAAACCCATGAAAAAATAATACACAAGTTCATAGTTTTCTTGAAGAACATTACGTTTTGTTTAATAAGTTATATTATAAAATTTCTCTCAATGTTTGTCACTATCAGCCAATATAAAGGAACAAAACAGAAGTTGAACAAGAAGAAGACAAGAGCACTAACAGATGCTCTCACATCTTTAGTTTCTGTAAACACAATGTCGATGAAAAAGAAACGGTATGAGACCATTTTCTTATTATTACTCAAGATTGATCATATATCTATATAGATAGAGATCTTAAAAACAGAATCCTTAGTCGCGGAACTCATCCATGAAGCTCTTGTGGAACTCAGTGAGACGGTTTACAATTGCCGGAATCTTATCTTCTTGCGGAAGTATGGTGCACCTGAAATGCCATGTTCCGGGTACCTACATCAAACGGACAAAAACACACAAGATTAACAACAGCAGCAAGTGAGCTTTTAGTTTCGATTCTTTGGAGAAAAAAAAGGTTTCTCAATTTCAAACCTGTCTAAAGCCAGAACCAGGGACTACGACTATTCCAGTAGCGTTTAGGAGGCGTTTGCAGTAGAACGCGTCTGGTGCTGTCTTTGCATCCTCTGCAGCTGCAATCGCCTTTTTTGGAAGGTTAATGCAAGGGAATAAGTACATTGCTCCTTCTGCTCTATTGCATGTTATGCCCTCTAGTTTGTTCAGAGCTTCTTCAAGAGTCTGCGTGGTTGGAGCTCAAACGCATTAAGACCAGAAAAATATAAACATGATTGCTGATGATAGTAACTTCTCTGTGAATGGGCTAACCTTTGCACGTTTAGCTAAAGACGAGAGAATCCCCTCTTTCTCTGCTATGTATGAGTCGTACGAGTCGTCACCAGGCTGATCAAATTTCATTTCATAAAAGCTGTTAAGTTTGATTATCGGTGTGCAAGTTCGAGCCACTTAACGAACCAGCTGTTTAAAGTGATTACAGATGTTTTATACCTTGGGTGGGCTCATGACGAGGCTGGCGAGAATTTGACCAGAGATGTTGGAGCAGAGATTCACAGAAGCCACTTTGTATATCTGTTCTCTTACATCAGAGGTGAATCCAGTAACTTCCATGTAACCGCCTCTTTTCCCACACTCTCCATAGTACCCTATTGAAAGAATGAATCAAGTTTTTGAGACTACTTTGCCCATTGCAATGATCAGAGAAGCTTATCATCAATGGACTTAAAGAAATTAGTTATTTTCAAACCTTTGGAGATAGATTGGAATGAGACTAAGGAGACATCCTTCTCACCGTAGCCCATGGACCGGGCTATTTTCTTGAAGGAATAGAATTTTTTGTCAGGGACATAGACATTTTCCTGATACACCTCATCAGCTAAAAGAACCAAGCCCTCTTTCTTACAGAACTCAACTATGTCACGCTGGTTTTCTTCTGCAAGAACCTTTTAACCAGAAAAAAGCAGGCCAAAAATTCAGACAAACTATAGAGAATATTGGAACGGAAAAGATTTGTGGTTTAGTCTTGAGGATCCATTTACCTGCCCGGTCGGGTTACCAGGGTTAATGACCGCCAAGGCTCTAACAGTGATGCCCTTTGACCTAGCCTCTTCAAGTTGCTTCTTCAGCTCAGATATCTCAAGACCCCATCCTGATGCTTCGTCAAGGTAGTATGGAACCTACCAGAAGAAGATGACAAACAATCAGAAGAAAGAAAAAAAAAAAGAAACTCGGAAGCAGAGATTGGCATAAGCACGAATGATATCATCATCAGTCAGACATGACGAACATACCAGAGTTCCACCGTGAAGGGCAATTGAAGCTGAGTACAATGGGTACTGAGGAATAGGGCAAAGGATTCCATCTTTCTCTGAACTTATGAGAAGTTGCATCATCATGTGAACCTAGAACGAGAGGAACATTACTATCACCATAAGGAACAACTCCTTCTGTTATTTGAATGAGTTTAGGGAAGTTTGATGGATCGTTACCCCAGGGCTTGCACCATCTGTCATGAAGATATCATTAGGATCAGCAGGGTAACCATCACGGGCTTCGATTCCAGCAGCAATTGCATCACGTAGTCCCTTGATACCCTGAGACAGAACAGAAGATTAAGATAGGGAACCACTCATTGAGAGAGAGATGCTGTTAAGATTGGCCACAAACCTGGCTGTGGCTGTAAGCACCGGTTGCTTTCCCGGGAATTTGGTCGAGAATCTTCCAAGCACGCTCAATAGAATCCGAACTGATAAATTTTGCAACATTCATTATTACAAAAATCTTATACAACCAGAGGAGAAAACAATCATTGTGAGGTAAGAAATATAAACCACTATTGGTACCTGAACAAACCATGTGTAGCACTCTCGTCCAACAAGGCTGTGTGGGAGCACAAAGCAAGAACCTGAGAGACATCGATGTTACAAGTTAACTCATGGCTAAACATATGGGGAAAAAAAAACAGCACCATCAAAGCTCACTTATTTACCTCTCTGAAGAATGTTATAGGCTGCTGACCAAGAGATTGCGGATTCCCGATATTACAGTAGATAATCTGCCAAAAAAGTGTAACACTTGCAAGTTAGAATCAAGTTTAACGACACGAAAAGGAGGACCTACACCGATTATTATTATGTACCTCATCAAAGGGATAAGCGTCCTTGTTAGTCTTTAACTCTTCTTGCAACCTCTGTGATGTGAAAGCAGAAAGCAAAATGAGCAAAGCAGTTTCCACTTAAGAACAATGCAATCTAGGAGACGGCTTCTTGCTTACCTGCGCAATGTTGACAATTTCTCCACGGACAGCGTACTCACATTTGAGAACCTGAGACCCACCCAAAACAACGAAACTGTTAAAACACAGAACCCAAACAAAAGCTTCAGGACATCAGTTACTATAGCTAGATTCAGAGGCATAAGTGTTATTAAATGCGCATTAAACAATCATATAATAATCACAAGGATCGAATCTAGGAAGAACACATGAATCCAGAAAGGAACACACTTTTTAATATCAGCAAAAAGCAGAATAACAAAAGGATTTTAAAAAGGCCCTAGCTTGTATATAAGGGCCAATAATTAAACCTCAGATGTTCAATAAACCCATCAAGCACATAACAATCGCGAAGAATCTAAACGATGCTCTTCGCTTTACCAAATCGTGAATCATAATTTTCAGCCGAGCATACTACAGAATCAAAATTTAATATAAAAAAAGAACCCAGAATGCAAAATCATAAACAAAAAGCAACCCCCAAAAAATTCAAACTATTGATTAAACAAGAGAAAGGCAAAACCCCACCTTGGGATTGATGGAGTCAAGAGTAACTGGAAGAGAGGAAGAGGAATCAGAAGCAGACATCTCGGAGGAAGAAGACAAGAGACGCGATGAAGAAACAAGAGTAGTAGAATCGGAAGCAGCAGAAAAAGGAGGAAGAAGAGAGAGAAGGCGGAGGTTTTTGTGATGATGATGTTGACGACGAGTCTGATCTATAAGATTTTTGGCTTGGCCAATCACGAATCTCCGCATTTGTGTGATCAGCTTTATACTATACTTGCTGCTCAATCTAAATTTAGATTTCGATGGTTTTGGTCCAAGACGTTACTTCCCAATACTAATCTTCTCTTTCCCTTTCACACTGTTTTTGACAATTTTTGGCGTCCACCGATTTGGAATTTATGGGAATTTGCCTTTATATTCAACGGATATTTTCTTTAAAACCCTTTTCAACGAATATTTAATTACTTTTTCCTTTTTTTTTACCCTTCTCATTCAGTCAAAAATCAAATTAATAATAAATAATTATTATATATCTAAGAGTATTCATAGTGTATTGTTCTTCACACTATATGTGGTCTCAGATCTTGTAAATAAGTTTATGGCAAATTATTATTGGTAATTTACATAATGCATATCTTTTACTAGTTAGTTTTTATTGGCCGCCTAATATTATTCAGACATTAACAACTTCTGGATCGTGGATTCAGACAAAACCATGTGCTTATTGTTCGAAGTCAGCGGTTGAGACGCTGTTAGAAATTGGACAAATCTCGATCTTTATATTAGGTTCTGGGCCATAATGGGCCCAGATTACGGTTAAGTCTTTTTACCGGTTCGTGGGCAAATCCATCATATGTTTATTAACCACCAAAACGACGTCTCTGTACGCTGGAAAATGTGAACGACGTCGTCTTACGTGTTGTCTCTCTGAAGTGGGATTCTCCTTCTAGCTACTCGTTCACTTTGTTGTTTTATCCTTTGTCTTGCTCTGTTTCTGTCTTTGGTTGTGAGCGTCTTAATGGATGAACGCCACATGAAGAACTCAATACTTGGGGGTTTCCAGGTTTTGTTTCTTAAGAATCTGTTCTCATGTCATGTTTTTCTATTTGAAAGGTAGATTTTATCGGACCGATTTGTGTGTGTAGTGTTGCAACTTAGGTGTGGCAAAAAGTATTATTTTCAGCCTGTTTGAATTTGAGGTTTCCAAAAGTCTTGCAACCAATCTGGATTTAGAGAAGTGTACACTCTTATATGTCAAAGGGAATTTAGTGCTCATAAATCACTGCGATTGTTTTTTTTTTTCATTTTTGACGTGCTACAAAAATAAGTCATTTTTTGCAGATTTGTAGTAAGAAGTGAGAACTAATCAGTGGAAATCAAGACAGGCAGCTAAACAATCAGCATATAATGAGTTTATTCTGCATTTGGTTCGAGAAAATCAAATTTCCTTTGAGGATGCGTTTCAAGCTTAAGAACCAAAGAACACAAAGAAATAGGTTGATCGTTGTATGCTTCAGGGTTTAAGCACCACCTAGAATGAAGAACATGCTAGGGCGGAGGATAAAATTCATGAAGTTAAAGAAACCACTTAACAGAAAAAAGAAGAAAACGAAGAAGCAAGAGAACTTTCCTCTCTTCAGAGATTACTGGGAAGAAGCAGAACGCAAACAAGTTGTGAACTTGAAGGTTAGACAACACACGAGTAGGGATTTTTTATTGCATGAAGTCTCTTTTCTTGATCCACAAGATTGAATGGCTCAAAATTAAAAGACGAGTTCATATTTTTCAAGTAGATTACAGGATTAAGAAACAAGTCTAGTTACCTATTCTACAAAAAGAGAAACATAGAAGACCTAGGAAATAAAAGGAAAAGAAAAAAGAAGGCAAAGATAATTGTAATTTTTTAAGGTTTTCTTGCTGCTGTGATCTGCTGTTTTCTACTCCCTTCAACAAATATTGGTGGATTACACCTGATACAAAAAGAAACACTCTTGATGTCAATTACACCTAAAAACCACACTGGTGGATTCATAAAAAATCAAAACTTTATTGTGTCTTGTTTCTTCTTTACTTGTTCTGTATAGGATTTGAGCCACTCCTTGGGATATGTCGGAAGCTATCTTTTTCTCCTCTAAGCGGCTTTCCTTCTTTCATATCCTTGCTTATCTGCAAATCTCTCACAGCTTGACGAGAATGTGTTATCCTTAACAGAGAACGTCCCTCTACACTATACTTGCTGCTAAAAAAAGCTACAAGTAATAGAACCAGAGCCACTGAACAGTATCTCCTCATTGTGAGTTTTTCTTCCTGTAATTCCTCTTGTAGTCTTGGAAGCTCTTACGCTGTTCTTGTTTTGTTTTTGAGACTGTAACTATTGAGAAAAATCTGGATAGAGATGTGAGTTAGAGTCTTAGAGAGAGAGAGAGAGAGACGAAAGCTTGTTGCTTTATAGAATAAGATTTTCTTTGTGTGGGAAAACATAGTTTTGGGGATCTGATCACGTGATCGTACTTTGACTGCTGCTATTTAATCAGAAGGTGAGATACTTATCTTAATCTTAATCATTTACTGATGATGATGATATTCCTCAGCATTTACATTTACACATATATTATATATACAGTTCATATGTAGAGACAAAGATCCACATACACACATTACCTAACTCATGTAAATACTTTGAAACTTAGAGATGGTGGTCATGTGATTGCAGCACGTGATTTCTGCCTACTGTTATTGGGGAACTCAAAAGAGGCTGAAACTTAACTTTGTTTGAATTTTATAAGTTTTCTAAGTTCTAAAGACATAACTTTGGAACTTGGAGGTATTAGTGTAAGTCCAATTTTCAGAAATAAAAGTTTGCAGGTAAACAGCTGTTTTGTCTCTCTACTAACATTACTTTTTTTTTCGTCTGCAAATTAATTTGTATTTTTCGTCTGTAGATGTTTACTTATATTTTAATACATATTTTAAATGAAAAGAAGAAACAATTGATTCCAAGAACCGGCACAGATTCTTGATGAGTAGATCACCCAAGTGGAGAATAAAGAAATAGGGAAAAGTGCATTACGCAATTTCATTTGTGTTTTTTTTTTCAAAAACCAAATAATAATCATTATTAGATTTTTGAAATGAGTAGAGATATTTAAATCACTAATCCCTAATCCCTAACCCCTAATTAGAAAGGGATCTGTTATGTCAAAGAGAAAATGACTTTTACTTTGTGAGTTGTGTGTTGTGTGGCTTACAAATAACGAATCGGAATGGTTATACAATACCGACCAAACCTGTCGGATGATTGATAAATTTGGTTCGGTTTAGCTTAACCATCCCAAAGTTAGGCTATTCTCTCTCTACCCGTACGACAAAGAGAAGTAATTAACGAGAAACCCCAGCGAGAGAGAATCCTCCTCGACAGAATTCGATTCAGGTGCTGATTTTCTATCATATTCTCCCAATTTTTTCCCTTCGATCTGCTGTTATCTACTAGTAATTTCTTCGCTACATTTCCTTTTGATTTGATTTTTCTTCGTCTCTCGCGTCTCTGGTTAAGAAGCTTTGATAGCAATTGGATCTTCTATCAAATTGAGAATTTTCTTTGGTAGCCCCATAGAGTTTTTTTTTTTATAATAAAAATGTTTTCTTGTGAGGAAGTCGATCGAAGAAATTGCAGTTGATTCGAGTTGGTTTGCCTATAATTGTTTAATCAACTGAGTTTCTGGGTTGAGATATTTTTCTAGGGATTGCCAGATCATTTTCTTTCAATTGAATTGGAATCGAATTTCCGTTGCTTTTACAATTGGATTGTAGTGATTTGCAAGCTCATAGGTTTTGGGGATCGTTATTCAAAGGGGTCTCTATCCAAGTGTTGTTGATTTCAATTTCCAACTTATCTGACAAAGGAATTACGGATGTCTTTTTCGATTTCGTTTAATTTCATTAGTTGGTGGGACTTTCACTCTAATATATATATATATATATGTTGATTATGTTAATCGGATTTAACAGCAGCTGCTGCAGTTATACACTTTAGTCCATATTACTACATAGATGGCAGAAAAGGCTTGTATAAAACGTCTCCAAAAGGAGTATAGAGCACTTTGCAAGGTACCATCTCTTCTTCTGCCGCTCCTTACTCATTTGAGCGTGAAGCAGGATTTCTCAATTTTATTCCTCGATAAGTGTTCTGTGAACTTTTCAAACGTGAATCAGTGAATGTTCTAGAGTAAAGTTTCATACTTTGTTTCGTTTCTTTAGGGGTTATTTATGATATGTTCTGTTTTGGGCCTTTAGGAACCAGTCTCCCATGTTGTTGCTCGCCCTTCCCCAAATGACATTCTCGAGTGGCGTAAGCCTTTTCTATCTTTTTTTTTATCGTATTCTTTCTATATTTCTCCTATTCAATTTCTTGTTATTCTATTGCAAGCTTTTCTGTGAAGGTGTTAAGATGAAATTATTCGATGGACATATTTTTGTATTTGGGAATATACAAGAAACAGTGGGTTACTATGATGAGGCTAGACAGAACAGTTCTCACATTTTAATGATTGCTTTGATAGAATGGTGAAGATTTATTTATGAAAGGTTCATATAAGCTTAAAGAGTAAACACAAAGATTTGATATTTCCTCTCAGTAAGGTGTAAAGCTGTCGGTGTTACTGTTATAGCCTGATTGTAGTGAGGGAGCTTTAGCCTTTCTAGTACTACTGTAATTTGAATGAAGCTACTTTGATCTGTTACAAACAAACAGTTGAACTAATGGTGTTAATCATACAGATTATGTGCTGGAAGGTAGTGATGGAACACCTTTTGCTGGTAATAATCTTCTTTATGAAGTTTCTTGTTAGTTTTGTCTTCTGCATACCTTATGAGTATCTAATTTTGATACTTGGATTGTTTGAAAAGGTGGATATTACTATGGAAAGATCAAGTTCCCTCCAGAGTATCCTTACAAGCCACCTGGAATTACGTATGTTCTTTGGTTCTCGAAATTTGGTCTCAATATTACTTACTCTTATCTCGATTTATAGTTCAGTTTCCAATGAAACGCATCCTTTTTTTTGTTTGCCTCAGAATGACTACACCAAATGGTCGATTCATGACTCAAAAGAAAATCTGTTTGTCCATGAGTGACTGTAAGCAAGCTCAATGATGCACCTTCTGTTTGCTGTTTCGTTTCATTCAAGTGTTTCAAATATCTGAATAACTTTACATGATATTTTCAGTTCATCCGGAAAGCTGGAATCCGATGTGGTCTGTGTCAAGGTATATTATAAATTCTCCTTTCGTCATATAATATAATTGACTTTCATAATGTTCATATTGATTATGTGAACGATGAAGATCATTGATTTTTGAAAGATGAAGATCATCGATAAACCTGTAGTTAACCAATTTGTTCTTCGGTGAATGCAGCATACTTACAGGACTTCTCTCATTTATGGTAAGCACATTGTAGGCGCTACAATTTTTGTTCTTTTTTCTTTATTCTGAAGGGCATTTCAGATATAAGAACAGTTTGTTTGCAGAGAGCACATTCTTATATAGTACTGGTGCCTATTAGTTAAACATGGTAATATCTTTGTTTATCTTATTGAGCTTTCTCTAATTGTTATCTCTTGTGGTGCGTGCAGATGGATAACAGTCCGACAACAGGGAGTGTGAATACCACTGTAGCTGAGAAACAACGGTTGGCAAAGTCATCTCTCGCTTTCAATTGTAAAACGTAAGATCATCCCAGTATTGTTTGATTCATTTTATAGCAGTGAATGCTCAAAATCACGAGCTTACATGTTATCAGCATTTCACATGAATCCGATGTTTTCTTACTCGTTGCAGGCCAGCATTCCGAAAGCTATTTCCAGAGTATGTAGAGAAGTACAACCAGCAGCAACTAGCGGAGCAAGCTGCCACACAACAGACGACACCAGAGTCTCCTCAAAAGAGCGATACCAAAGCCGAGTCAGAGCAAACCGTGGACACAACCAAGGAAGACTCAGAAGGTGGCTTGAAGGAGAGGAGGAAGAACAAGAAACAGGGATTGCCCGCTTGGATAATACTGTTGCTAGTGTCGGTTTTCGGGGTTGTCATGGCGCTGCCTTTGCTTCAACTGTGATTTCTATGCAACAAAACATAGAAATTGGACAAAGACTCTTGGGATAAAACCTCTCCTTCTCTCTCTCTTTCTATCTCTATCCCTTCAGTATCAAGAGTAGTCTTCTTTTGTGTTAGTGCTCTTCTTTCTGAATTTAGCCCCATCATGGTTTGTGCTTTTAAAAGCAAATAACATAAGCTTTTGGTTTCACACTTATATTCTTATATTTATATTTAAGCTTTGTTGAAACTACTTTGTATAGTAATATATGAGGCCAATGGTCGGTTTGCATTTGATAAATCCGTATGGTTTTTGTTTCTTCTTTATCTAACACATTTTCTTCCAAGAGATCATCAATCAAATACACACACTTTTGAGTTGTGACTAAAAAATGTAATTTCGTCCAAAATGTATCATTCATCAAATAATATGATTAATACTACCGGGAATTAGCAGCTCAGTGATTTCTCTCGCTCACTCGCTCTCTCGGCGATGGAGCGCAACTCGTCGGACGAAGACGAGGACCACCGGAATTTGATCCCTCATAACAACATCAGAGTCAACGATCACAACGGCCGCCGGGAAGACGAGCTTCAGTCCGTCGCCACCGCGAGGGCCATAGATAGGGCAAACGGCGGTGGCAGGAGTCCGAGATCGGCGTTTCAGATCGAGGAAACCGTGTCGCGAGCCCGGAACCGCTGGAAAGTCTCACTCGACAAGCGTTACGTCGTTGCTACCGTCTCTCTAACTCTGCTCGTCGTTTTTTTCTTCTTATTTACTGATACTCGGAGATTCTTCTCCTCGGCGGTAGATCTCTCGAGCTTTAACCTTGATCCACTGTCGAGTCGTGTCAAGGAATCCGAGCTCCGCGCTCTATATCTTCTGAGGAAGCAACAGCTCGCGCTTGTCTCTCTCTTGAACCGTACGTTTGTAGATCAATCAGCGAATCTCAATTCTTCCAACGCAATCGATTCTTCACTACTAGTAGACAATGTGAAAGCTGCTCTAGCGAAACAGATCTCACTGAGTAAGGAAATCGAAGAGGTGCTTCTATCACCACACAACACCGGGAACTACTCCGTCACCGGCTCAGGTAACGTCACCGCTTCTTACTACTATGACAGATGTGGCAAAGTAGAACAGAAGCTGTTGGAGCGGAAGACGGTTGAATGGAAGCCTAGACCAGACAAGTTCCTTTTTGCAATCTGTCTCTCAGGCCAAATGAGCAACCACTTGATTTGCTTAGAGAAACACATGTTCTTCGCTGCGCTGCTGGATCGAGTTCTGGTGATCCCGAGCCCTAAGTTTGATTACCAGTATGACAGAGTGATAGATATAGAGAGGATCAACACTTGCTTTGGAAGAACTGTTGTCGTTTCTTTTGATCAGTTCAAGGAGATGGATAAGAAGAAGAATGCTCACATTGACAGGTTCATCTGTTACTTCTCATCGCCACAGCCTTGTTATGTGGACGAGGAGCATATCAAGAAGCTAGAAGGGTTGGGGATTTCCATTGGTGGGAAGCTTGAGGCTCCTTGGAGTGAAGATATCAAGAAGCCAACTAAGCGGACTTTTCATGAGGTAGAGGAAAAGTTTAAGTCTGATGATGGTGTGATCGCCATAGGGGACGTCATCTATGCTGATATGGAGCAAGATTGGGTGATGCAGCCCGGTGGACCCATCAAGCACAAATGCAAGACACTGATCGAACCCAGCAGGCTCATTTCGTTGACTGCACAGCGATTCATCCAGACATTCTTGGGAAAGAATTTCGTCGCGCTTCATCTCCGTAGACATGGGTTCCTGAAGTTCTGGTGAGTTTTTGTTTTTTTTTTGCATCTCTTTGTTTTTAGGGTACATAACCTTGTCATTGTTGCCGTTATGTGTATCTTGAACTTAGGCACTTCTGGTAGCAATTAAATACTGTGCTGATGTTGATGTTCGAGCTAGGGACTAAGTTAGGATTTTCGCAAAAACTGTGTCTCAGTCTAATGAAATGATTTGTGGCCAGCAATGCAAAATCGCCAAGCTGCTTTTACCCGATACCACAAGCTGCGGACTGCATCAGTCGGATAGTGGAAAGGGCCAATGCTCCAGTCGTCTATCTTTCAACTGATGCTGCAGAAAGTGAAACGGGTCTGCTTCAGTCACTAGTAGTTGTTAATGGAAAAGTCGTTCCACTTGTCAAACGTCCACCTCGCAACTCAGCAGAAAAATGGGACGCATTGTTGTATAGACATGGTATAGAGGATGACTCTCAGGTAACCTACGCCATTGCTATAGTGTCTTTATTGCTTTGTTTATGGACCAAAGACTGTGTTCTCTAGAAATCACATGAAACCCTGTCTCCAATGTGGTCTTTCAACAGAAATAATAATATGTTGGAGTATGATCTAGTAACAGTCTTTGTTTAATATGCCTTGTGCATCCGTGGTTTTTTGGACTGATAAAATTCCTTAGACTCTTTGTTCCCGTCTTCTATGACAAGACTCTCTCTCGCATTCACTTGCTTTGTGGTTGGATTTTGGAATGTGTAGGTGGATGCTATGTTGGATAAGACGATATGTGCAATGTCCAGTGTCTTCATTGGAGCATCGGGTTCTACGTTTACAGAGGATATCTTGCGGCTAAGGAAAGACTGGGGAACTTCATCTATGTGCGATGAGTATCTCTGTCGAGGCGAAGAACCAAACTTCATAGCAGAAGATGAATAAAAAAGTATACACATTCGTTGGCTTTTTGTATATGTCCTTTTGTTCTACTTTTTATTTACCTGTATTATAATAGTGCATTTAGAGTCAAATTCTTTTGATTCTTTTTCGACAATTTTGTGAAAGCGAAATACAGTTTCTCTTTTGTCTGTTATGTCGGAACTGCTTTCATTTGCTTCTGAAACAAGTAACCAAAATGTTGATTGAACACCGAACGTAGACTAAATGTCGAACGAATTGAATTATAAAGGAGTATGTTTGATTCCTGCTGTCACCAGAAATAACATTACATTACAGACTACAGATTATATGAAATGCTCTAATTACATCCCCCGATGAACCCAAGAATGAACCCAAGAATGTTCTATTCCACTTTACGTAATATTTTGAGTTAGGGAAAAATCAAGAGAGTACTTTAGACAGTGTCTGCACGAATCATCTTGGGGTCAATTTGTTTGAGCTTCATTACTGATTCCAAATGCCTTGACACCGAGTGTCCCTCCAAGAGCCTATCAAATGAACAAAAAAACTAAGTTTCTATTTTCTGTGGACCAGAGATGGTTCTGGTAGTATGTGAAATGAAAGAGAAACCCAAAAAAAGTCGTATAGACAAAAGAGAACCTGGCGGTTTCTGCACGCCTTCTGGTCTGCTCAGCGATCCAAGATGCGCGAGAACGACTTCCACTGAGTTCTTCTGCAGAGTGACTTCTCTGAGAGATGGTTACATTGGACGCTCCGTCATCTTTTCTATAATCTTTCTTATTAGTAAATGCTGTCTGCAAGACAAAACCAACACTCTTTGTCTTTTAAGAAAAAAACAGAGTTAAAGTCTGAGACAGAGGACAAGACATGCACTAACCTTACGGTCAAATACAAGGTTCCAAGCATCTCCACTCAATGCGTAGTGGAAGAAGAACTTTATAATATCAAGAGGTATGTAAAAAATCAAACTGTATAACCATATAACACCTGCCCATCCCCATCCAATGCCGGTGATGTTAGCAAAGCTGATGTTGGCATAGACAGCAATCAATGTAGCGGCCTGTGTACATGAAAACGGACAAATCAAAACCAAGACCTATGTATGCTGTATGTAGTATTCTGTGATGGAAAAAGGTTAAACATGAAGAGTTCTTACAAGTTGGGCAACAAGGAAGGCGAAAATCAGGAGAGTCCCGGGACGTTCAAGAAAAGACCAGCTTCGACTACGTGTTACAAATATGAGTGCTTGACTGATGATGCTTACTTGGAGATACAGAGCGGATGAGACTTGTTCACTGTTGTTGCCGATTGATTTTACATGGAAGTGTTTCTGCAGCCATTTAAGATTCAGGGATGGTCATGGTTATGCGTTTTTCTCGGTAAGCAAATCGAATTTGATTACTTTCGAGCGACGGGAAGATACCTCGAAGAAGGTGGTAGAGACAATGATCCAGTAGAATAGGACAGTGACCAATGCAAGGTATGTTCCAATGACAATTCCAGTCGCAAATATCTGGTTGAGCTTCCAACTCTCGGGTGTAGGAGATGGCCTTACTCGATCTTTAGAGATAGTCATGATGGTCCCTGTTGCGTAGGAGATAAACAAGAGCACTTGAAAGTGTTAAGAATTTAGAGTTTTTAACATCAACAATTCAAACATGAAGCTATTGAGAGGATTAAAAGATTACCGTCATTGAGTATTGCGATTATCAAAACCATGAAAGGTGGAAAGTCGTATTCCCATATCAACGCTAAAAGTGTAAAACCGAGCTGCATGAAACAATGATAAGAAGAGAAGGCTCAAGTAGATGTAACTTAGCAAGTTAGATCGTGTATCTTGAAGCTCCTTACCACTATTCGTATGGTGATCGAGACTGCATATACCTGCAGAGGAAACCAAAAGAAACTTCAGAATTTCATTAAACTACTTGAAATTCATATCCTATATTACATGGATTTGCTTATCTTTAGCAATGTGGAATCAGATGATAGTTGTCTTTAGTACTTACTGTATAGTTCTTCATACGCTGGAAAATGGCTCTGCTGGTCAAGACAGCACTGATAATTACACTTAAGCCAGGCTCAGTTAGTACAATGTCAGCAGAACTTCTTGCGGCATCTGTTGCATCAGCGACAGCTATTCCAATGTCAGCCTTTTTCAGAGCAGGAGCATCATTCACACCATCTCCGGTCATTCCAACCACATGCTTCTTTTCTTGTAATATCTTTACAATCTCATACTTGTGTTCTGAAACATGAGAGCCATCAAAAGAAACTGGGATCAGTAAAAGAGAGAAAATCTGAAACTCGGTAAGATATAAGCGCTGTGTTGTGAGTATGACCAGGGAACACTCCAGCAAATCCATCTGCCATTTCAATAAGCTCATCCAATGGAATGGCTTCGTGATCATCGTTGTTGTGGCCTAACAAAGAGGAAGAAGGATACATATTGGTTCCCATCCCAAGTCGCCTTCCTGTCTCCTTTGCAATCGCCAACTGATCACCTACATTTTTTTTATCCAAACTTATCAGATTTTCACCATGAGAGCGTGTCTGTTCCTCTGTGGTCCCAAGCAAGCCTGCTCTAGGGTTCAGAATTACCGGTGATCATCTTAACACAAACTCCAAGGTTAAGAGCTCTCAGTATGGTTTCAGCACTGTCATGCCTTGGAGGATCAAACAGTGGCAACAGACCACAGAACAACCATGGTCCTCCAGGACTGTTGCTGCTTCTCTCTGGAATTTCCTAGAAACAATGATTAAAATGATTGAATGAGTATAACTAATGTCATTATAAGCTTCTTCCCCAAATAGTACACTTACAATAAAAACCATATCAAGAGAGAAAAGGGATAACAGAAATATTTTACCTGATAAGCAACAGCAAGAGACCTCAAACCTTTTTCTGCAAATCTATTTATGATGGCATAAACTCTTTGCGCAATCTCATTTTTCTGCTGGCACAAGCTTAGAACCTATGTATACAGTACAGTTGGAATTGAATCAGTGATGATATATCTTTTATGGACCTATATATAAAAGAACTTTCATTTTTTTACATCTAGAGTCAGTTTTGAAAGTGCCAAGTAGTATAGGGTGATTCTTTGTTACCTGTTCGGGAGCTCCTTTGCTAGCGCGATACCATTTTCCATCGGAGTCAATATATGTTATTGCTGTACGTTTGTCCACAGGATTGAATGGCAAGAAATGAATTTCTTTAATGTTTGCACGTGCCTAAAGATAAACAACCTTTTCTAATAAGTAAAACTTCTAAAGAAGATGACAATATTTTCATAAAACAGAGTTTATGTAAAAGAAACATCTCCACCTCTTTCGGATCAGCAAGCATGCTAACAATTGCTGCATCTATGGCATCCTGGTTTTCTAACCGTGAAGCTCTGCCTGCAAGCAGCAAAATTGTGTCCTTGTCCATGTAGTCATCGAAAACCTGTAAAGATGGAGGCAACTGTTGTTAACTGTACTCTTTGGACTTTGAAATGCAAGTCACATGGGAAGTATTGGTTGGTACCTCAATAAGATTTCTATCAACGGTGAGACTGTTCAAGGTAAGGGTTCCAGTTTTATCACAGCAGAGGACATCCATCCCAGCCATTTCCTCTATCGCCGTCATCCTTTTCGTGATGGCACCCTTTTAAAACAACAAGAAACACATATTATATTGCTAACAAAAAGTTCTACAGAAGCTTAAAAGTTGGATTCTTCTTGGTTCACTCTGTTACAGTTAATCAGTCAAGAGAAACGACACCTGTTGTGAGAGTCGATGAGATCCAATGGCAAGCGTGACAGATAGTACAGTGGGCATGGCAATGGGTATCCCTCCAATCAGTAGTACAAGAAGGTTATTGATCCCAATTCTGTATGAGCGATGTTGTATAGGGAACATGACAATGATTTCAAGAACCATTCCAACAGCAATTGAGCAAATGCAGAAGTTCCCAATTGACGTAAGAACCTATAAGGAAAACATGTCACAGAAACATGTCATGTTCTTGCAAAGGTATTCACAGCTTTACAAGGTTTGGTCTTTTACCAGTCAGACTGTTTCAACCAGAAAAGGGAGTTAAGGAACAATAAAGAACCTGCTGAAAATGTCCAGTTGCATCTGTGCTGTCCACCAAAGATGCTGTTTTACCAAAGAAAGTGCTCGAACCGGTGGCTATCACAACAGCTTCTATCTCACCTTGCTTACAAGTAGAGCCAGAGAAGACTTGCTCACCCTTCTTCTTGGTCACAGGTAGCGATTCTCCGGTCAGCACTGACTGCAGGAATATTCTGTCAGATACAGTCTTTACATAATGTACTAAGAGAGAAGAAATGTGACTTAGCGCTAAATATAATCTGTGCGTGCCTGATCAATTTTCAAGGGGTCTCCTTCAAGAAGGCGAGCATCTGCAGGAATGATATCCCCAAGCTTTATGCTAATAATATCACCAGGTACCAAGATAGACGCGTCTTGCTCTTGCCACTGTCCATCTCTAAGAACCTATCAAGAGTGGATCTTGATCAGATTTAAGGTAATAAGAGTGAAAATGCATAAGGTGAAGAAGCAGACTCTTGTTTTTGGAGCCAGGCGAGCCATAAGAGCTCCAGCAGCATTCCCAGCATTGTTTTCTTCAAAGAAGCTGATTGTTGCGTTGATCAGTAAAAGGCAAACGATTCCAACAAAGTCTTCCCAGTCAGGACCTAAGCTCTGTAATAAACATTTTTCACCATGAGTTTCAAGAGCAGAAACGATTTCATAAACTCTCATGTACGCAGAAATGGTATAGCAAAAGACTGATAGTCTCTACTTCACTATCTGCTAGGGCGATGGCCATCAATGCTGCAGCTTCCATAACCCATGACAAAGGATTCCACATAAAACCTAGGAACTTCAGAAACTTGTTCTCCTGTATCGTTTCGTTTTCAGTGTCATTAGGACAACACTAACATATTATACAAGAGCTAATGTAAAGAACCACAACTTGGCAGAAAAATCAGTGTGTGGCCTAAGGATAATATGTGAAAAAGAAATGAAGAGTGTTCATAATGAATAAGATCTCAGAACTAGTAAGCTTCTCTCCTGTCTTAGGCAGGAACACTATGGAAAAACTTTGACGATAAGCTTTTTATTACCCGTTTCTCTTCAAGGCTGTTAGGACCAAATATCGTCAATCTTTCTTCAGCATCTCCAGATAAAAGCCCCCGTGGAGATGTTCTTAGGTATTCAAAAACCTCCTCCAATGGCAACAGACCCTGTCCAGCTCAAGCGTCAAAACCATTTTTGCCACTAAAGAATCCAAGAATTTTAATAAAAGTAAAGGAACCACACATCATTTACCAAGTCAATTCCTTCTCTGTTGAGAGTATCAGGATCCAGCAATGGTTTGTCTGATTCCTCGGCCATACTTATAGCTTCAAAATCCACGGTACAAGTACCACTTCAAAGCCCACATTCCTAGATTCGATCCACACCTTGGAACTAGTGAACAATAGCAAAAACCGTAACTTCGTCGATGTACATAAGATAATTATTTAAAATTCTAAGGTAATAGCAAACCATCAAAACATAGTACGAGCTACACACGAACTTAAACCACTATGTTACGACCAAGTTGCCCGTCATTCTGATCGAGGATCCGGTATAGTGGCACAGCGCTACAAACTTCGTCGTCTTGGAGAAGAATACTCCGGAACAGAAGCGAAACAGGAATCCTTAAAAAGGGTCCACGAATGAAAATTGAAACCACCTTTCCGTGGCTGACCAGTTGATGCTCCTGCAAGTCGCAAGTGGTATCGCCATTAATGGAAGCATCTTTGTTTGCGAAGAGTAGATGAAAAAGACGAAGAGTAAGCAGAGAGAAAGAAGTGTGGTTGATCTCACTTCTCGCCTAACGGTCACTCTCACTCCCTCTCTTTTGTCCGGACTAACAATCTTTTTTTATTCTTTCGTCTATATATAAAGTAGACTTTTTATTATCTCATCATAAATATTAAATAACTTGAAAACTTGAAGGAATTCTATATTTAAAAGAAAAAAAAAAACGAGTCAAAAATTCTTTACCTATTAAATGAGAATGTAGTTTAATGAAAAATATTGATTTGTTTTAATTTGATTAGTTAAAATTATTTCTCTATCCTAATTAAATGTGACATGAAAATGATGATGTGTAATGATGATGTAATTGTGACATTACTAACACATGTGGTTTATTTGTTTTAATTTGATTGGTTAAAATCCTTTTTCTATTCTAATTAAATGTGACATGGAAATGATGATGTGTAATGATGATGTAATTGTGACATGACATTTACTAATACATGTGGTTCATGGCATGACAAAAAAAAAATTTGTGATATTTTCATCAATAAAAAATTTAATTAGATGATAACATTTAGTGTACTAATAATTAAATCTGGAATGATTCGCCGGATGCATTATGAATGGTCTGATATTATTATCCATGAGTAATAGTAGATGAATTTTGGGCTGAAGGTGATAATTTTAATACATATATATATATATTATAATACTATAGATAATACTATATTATATACCTATTAAATTTACTATAGCTCTGTTGTGGACTACTGTGACTTTTTATATAGATACATATATATATATATTATAATACTATATTCATATGGAATAGATGCACATATATTTTTATAAACTTTAGTAGGCAAAATTATAATAACAAAATCACATTGATTAAATCGTTTACCTAATAATTCATACTTTTTGTAAAGGCGGTGCTCTATTTACGTGCACATATGTTTTCACATACTTTAGTTGGCAAAATTATAATAACAAAATAAGATATTAGTGTGATCTTCTGTAGAACATTCAAAATTTAAAAATATTAGTTTAGTTTAAAAATAATAACAAATATAAATTTAAGATTTCGATTTAATAATCCTCTATATTATTTTTCGTAACAAACGTTGAATATCCTAAAAATCAACATGATCTAATGAAAAACCAAAATCATTATCCTCTACTTTATTTTAAAATTTTAATGTCTATTTAATAAAAACCAAAAAGATCCATATAAAATCACGTTCATCCCAAATAACTAGTGAAAAAGATAAATACTCGGATCCTTATATAAGAAAACATCGCAACACACACAGTGGCGGTCCCAGAATTTTTTTTAACCAAGGTCAAAAAAAATTCTAAATATAAAAATATAAAAAGTTCATAGAAATAAGAAACATTTTACAAAACTACTCTACGATCTTTCATATCCTGAAATCTTTTGATCACAGCTTCATTTATAATTGTCTCGAATATATCTTTCTCGACATAACAAACTAAACAGTCATTCAAAAACTCATCTCCAATCCGATTGCGTCGATCCGTCTTCACAATCTTCATTGCAGAAAAACATCTCTCAACAGTTGCAGTAGCAACAGGCAAAATCAAAACCAACTTCAAAAGTTTGTAGACCAAAGGATATGACATATGTTTTCGTGTTTCTACCAGCGTACGTGCAAGTTCCCCAAGATACTTCAAGTGACTAAATCTTTCATCATTTCGAACATTGTCAATGTAGATATCTAACTGTTGCTCAAGAGATATGCATTCTCCAGGACTAAAGTCGTATGGATAGAACGTAGATAACTTCATCAACTTCGACTGATCAAACTGAGAGAACGAATCAATGGGAGATAAAGCAGCAGCACAAATAAGCAATTCAGTGTTCACCTCATTGAAGCGATCGTTAAACTCTTGAAGCTGTAAATCTAAAACATCATTCAAACAATTGATCTTGTAATGATGCATATTTGTAACTCCTGATTTTTTTCTTGGTTTCCTTGAGTCAATGAAATCTTCCTCCATGTCAAGCTTTTCAATCTCATGTTTCTCGCAGAAAGAAGAAACTTTAACCATGAGAGAATCCCATCCATCATCCCTAAACTTCTGCAGTTGTCTCTTAGTTGATTTCACCAATGACATAGCATTCAAGATTTCTTGATCTCTTTTTTGCAGAGCCATGGACAAACAATCAGTGAGTCCTAAAAGGTGTAGCATCAACTGCAAATAAAACACAAAATCAATTCTATGGAAGTATCTGAGAAGACCATGTGTTTGACGTCTTTTTAAATCTTCTACCCCTTCATTCTCAACACACTTAAGTACTGTGATAATAGAAGAAAACATCTCAATCAAACGCAACAGAGTTTTATAGTGAGATCCCAACGAGTGTTTCCTGGTCTTTGAAGAGAAACCTTTTGATTTAATCCTTTTCCAGTACTGATTTCACCATCATCAACTCCCTTTTCAATAATTTCTTTATGACTCTCTCGAAGCATATATTTCCTCTTACACGAAGCTCCCACCACATTCAGTAATAGAGAAATCATATCAAAAAAGTCTCCAACATCAAAGTGTTTTTTGGCAACTGCCACAACAACCAATTGAAGTTGATGAGCAAAACAATGGATATAATATGCTGATGTGCTTTCCTTGGAGATTAACGCTCTTAGCCCATTAAATTCTCCTTTCATATTACTCGCCCCATCATAGCCTTGTCCTCTCAGCTTTTTTATGCTTAATCCAAGCTTAGCAAATAAACAATCAATAGCAGATTTCAAAGTAGCTGAAGATGTCTCGCTCACATGCATAACACTTATGAATCGTTCTTTGACTATCCCCTTCTTATCGACAAATCGAAACACTACTGCCATCTGCTCTTTATCAGAAATATCTGCTGATTCATCTACCAGCAAACCAAAAACATCATGATCAATATCTTCAATAATATGTTTGACTAGCTCTTCTGCAAAACAATGCACAATATCTTTCGGATCTTCGAAAACGCCATTTGATTATTTCCGGGAGCATTTTCTAAAACAACCTTACTCACAACTTCATTTTGCTCAGCAGTGTATTTCAATAGCTCCACAAAATTTCCTCTATTAGCAGAAAGGTAATCCTTCTTGCAGTAAGTATCTAGAAGCATCAACTGAAGCATTTAGTCGAATCCGATACTCATTTTTCATAATATCATCTTGTCTATGCAAAGCATGCCCAATAGACTGACCTTGTTTCATCAAATTTTCACACTTCATAGCTGCAGTGTTATGAAAGCTATTAACAGCTCCCACATGTTCTGAAAAAGACTTTCTAAACCTATTCCAGCTGGAAAATCCTTCAGTGATAAATGCATCACTTTTTACGTTTTTTTCCAGCAGTATCTCTAAACAAGTAACAGAACAAGCAAAAAGCTTTTTCTTTCTTCACACTATACTCTAACCAATCAGAATACTGATCAAACCAGGCGAGATTAAATCGCCTCAATGTGTTTCCTATCATTTTTTGTTCAAAAACATGACCTCGGGGTTGACAAGGACCTCTAATCAAGTATTTGCGAATTACCTCATCTCTTTGATTAGGATGATAATCTATGATTTTTTTCCGGTCTGCAGGATCCCATGGTAAATCATCTGTAGCACTAGATGGTTCTGGAGCTTTTTTTTTCAGAAACTTGGCCATTACTTTTTTACCTAAAATAAAAGCCATAAAATTATTAATTATTGATAACTATGTTATAAAGAAAAATAAACAATAATTATGAATGACTTACTTGATAATGTGAATGAATTTTGAACTCTAAATTTTGGAAGCAGATCGGTAATGGAAGAGAAGAGATGACGATTATGAATGATTAATAATTAGGTTAGATTTGTTAATTTGTTTCTAATTTAATGAAAAAAACATTAACAATGACTTCTATCTACATGGGCCACGTTTTATATAAATGAGCTAAACAATTTTTTTCTAAAAAAAATTTTGGGTGGGTCAGCTGACCCACCAAGTTGACACATGGGTCCGCCACTGAACACACATGAGTATTAAACAAATCAAACCCTAACTCAAAGTGCGGGCATGGCAATTCTAATAATCCATTTATCTAAATCGAATATGGCTAAAATTAAACTTGAAGGTTGTATAGACTCCAATCGTGAGTATAATGAAACAAGATTTTATCGCTACACTGAATTTCCAAACAAATGGGTTTGGCAGCAAAAAAATAAGAAGTGGCTCCCTTGCAATGGAAAAAACAATATTCCCTACGATATCAGCCTTCCAGAAGTCTCAGAAGAATATTGTGAGCTTTTTTACTTTAAAATGTTGCTAAATGTTCAGAGAAGAGCAGTATGTTTCGATGATATCAGGACAGTAAACAAAGTTTATTTCCAACCTTTGCTGAAACATGTCTTGCAATAGGGTTAATTGAAGCACTTGATGCTTAAGTGAAGATGGTCTTGCAATTATCTGTAGAGTCTACTTGATAAAATTATAAATAGAAAAATCGCATATATGAGTAGATCGAGACCAACAATGACGGAATCCTTGAAGAAATAATGCTTTAAATTGAGGAAGATTATATGAAGACAAAGAAAATGAAAAATGTTTGTTCAAAAACAAAGACAGAGAAGATAAAATTTGCAGCTTGATCCGCAAATCCGAAGAAGGTAGCTATCTACGGGTTTGACCCATTTGACCCTCTAACATAACGGATCAAGTTTTACAAAGTCTGATTATGGAAAATAATTTTTGTGTTTTCTAAATTTAATTAATATTTTTCAAGTCTGTCTCAAAATATAAATGAACCTTTTGTTATAAAAAAATGTTTAGTTAAAATTAGATTATATTTTACTACTTAATCTAAAGTCTTATAATTTAAAACACTAATCTTGAGTTTCATATACTATAAAAAATTAAAATATTTAAAATAGATTTAGATATTGTATTTAGATAATTATATTTTTAAAATTCTTCATGTCCGCACATGCGTGCGGACCAATATCCTAGTATTGGTTTACAATGTCTCATCTCTTTTTTTTTTATATATAAAAAGGGCAACTTGGTCTCATCTCATGTTACGTAGACATTAAAAAATGGACCAATGGTATAAGAAAATTGATAACAAATGTAGAAGATATTGACTATTCGCCTTGGCTAAAAACGCTGGCATGACGAGAAGTCTTTGTTTGTTTTGTCTGGCTATTACTCCTTAGTTAACACTAGCATTGCCAAGAAGTTTCTTCATCTTCTATATCGGTTTCTTTTGTTAATGTCTTGTTCTTGTTGTCATCAAGATGAACGAGAACATGAGATCCAAAGCCCAAGGTCCTGTGAGAGCCTCATCAACCACAAGACCAATACGACCTCTGAGTTCTCACATGCTTCGCTTACTCCTTCAGTGTGTTCTTTTCCTCTTTCTTACAGTTTCAGAAGCCATCTGTAACCCGCAAGATCGAGAATCTCTCATGTGGTTCTCGGGAAACCTTTCTTCTTCTGTTTCTCCTTTGAATTGGAATCCATCCATTGATTGTTGCTCATGGGAGGGAATAACCTGCGATGACTCAATGGATAGTCGCGTGACTGCGATATCCTTAACATCTAAAGGACTCTCCGGCAATCTCTCTTTGTCTCTTCTGCATCTCCGCCATCTCTCTCAGCTCAATCTTTCTCATAACCGTCTCTCGGGTCCTCTCCCGCCGGGTTTTCTCTCATCCCTTGATAAGCTCATAGTTCTTGATCTTAGTTACAACAGCTTCGATGGTGAGTTGCCACTTGAACAAGCATTTGGAAATGGAAGCAGCAGTTTCTTCTCAATTCAGACCATTGATCTGTCAAGCAATCTTCTGCATGGCGAAATCCTCGGAAGTTCTGTTTTTCTCCAGGGTGCTTCCAATTTAATCAGTTTCAATGTCAGCAACAACACCTTCACAGGTCAATTCCCCTCTTTCATGTGCACGGGTTCACCGAACCTCAGCAAACTGGATATCTCTTATAATGATTTTACCGGCAATATCACCCAAGGATTAGGCAGGTGCTTGAGGTTAACTGTTCTACGAGCAGGATTCAACAAGCTCTCTGGAGAAATACCAAGTGAAATCTATAATCTTTCTGAGCTCGAGCAACTCTCTCTGCCCGCCAATCAACTTTCTGGAAAGATCGATGATGATATCACCCGGCTCAGGAAACTTACCACGCTTGACCTGTACTTCAATCACCTCGAAGGAGAAATACCAGTCGGTATAGGCAACCTCTCCAGCCTCCGCAGCCTCCAGCTCCATATAAATAACCTCACTGGTTCGGTCCCGCTTTCTCTCGCAATTTGCACCCATCTCGTCAGGTTGAATTTGAGGGTCAATCGGCTGAGAGGAAGCTTAACAGAGCTCGACTTTTCTCAGCTTCAGAGTCTTACCATTCTAGATCTCGGAAACAATAGCTTCACCGGTGATTTCCCGGATAAGGTTTTCTCCTGCAAATCGCTCACGGATATCCGATTTGCAGGCAACATGTTATCGGGACAGATGTCTCCCCGAACCTTGAGTCACTGTCGTTCCTGTCTTTTTCAGACAACAAATTGACAAACATTACAGGCGCTCTGAGCATTCTGCAGGGCTGCAGGAAGCTGTACACCCTCCTCGTATCAAAGAATTTTCACAACGAAACATTACCAAGCAACGGATCCTTAGTTGCACCAGATGGATTCCCAAAACTCCAAATCTTTGGCATCAGTGGATGTAAACTGAAAGGTGAAATACCAGCTTGGCTGATCAAACTGAAGAGCTTACAAGTCATTGACTTGTCCTTCAACCGACTCGAAGGGTCGATTCCTGGATGGCTGGGAACTTTTCCCCATCTGTTCTACATTGATCTCTCCGATAACCTACTTTCAGGAGAGCTTCCAAGATATATATTTAACCTGAGGGCTCTAATGTCCCAAAAGGCCTACGACGCAAGAGAAAGGAACTATCTAGAGCTGACTGTTTTTGTCAGTCCCAATGATGTTACCAATCAGCAATACAATCAGCTGTCCAGCCTCCCACCTGCCATCTACATCAGCAGGAATAACCTGACCGGGAGCATACCAATGGAGGTTGGGCAGTTTAAAGTTCTTCACGTCCTAGAACTTTCTCATAACAATTTGTCTGGCAGCATCCCGGATGAACTGTCGAACCTCACCAACTTAGAGAGACTTGACCTGTCCAACAATGCTTTATCTGGTAGAATCCCTTTATCGCTAACAAGCCTCCATTTCTTGTCCTATTTCAATGTGGCGAACAACACTCTCCAAGGGCCAATACCCCCATCTGGTCAGTTTGCTACTTATCCAAAAGCATATTATGAAGGAAACCCCTTGTTGTGCGACGGTGTGCTGCTGACTTCCTGCAAGGTCCCAAGTAACACGGCAAAAGATGATACAGGGGACTTACAGAGAACTTTTTTTATAGGGGTTGCCATTGGATTTTTCGTTTCCTACTGCTTTTACTGGTGCTCCTTTGCGATGCGATTCACCGCCTTCACTAGACAATAGTCTTTCAAAAGTACAAGAAACTAAAAGGGTTTATGGTTGGTTATACAATATATACTCCCTCTGTGTTCAAAATGTGCAGAAAGAAACGAAGAGCTTTCAGGCTTTATTTTGAGTTGTGGGTTTCCTTGATAAAAACTCGTCAATCTCTTTGTATTTTCAGCAGACTAATATATAAAAGACGCAATGGCTACAGACTGATCGTATTAAACTCGTATAAGAACAGTTGATTTGATGACCAAGGAATCTACTGGGTTTGTTGATGACGACTTGGAGTCTAGAATCTTATGGAAAGAAGCCGAAATCACATCAATCTTAACAATAAACACGTTACACTGAGAGTTTGGACCGAAATCGCCAACAGACACTGGAAATGAAAGTGGAGAAGCCGAGGTACTATATATTCCACTAGAAATCAGATGACAAATTTTTTTTATTTCTTTTTTGCAAAACAAGTCAGCAAAAGGAGAAGAACCTGGATCCGGAGTTGAGAGTAGAATTAGTAGGGACGGTGAAATTCATACTGATAGATTCCTTCTCGCCGGAGATCAATTTCAGTTGAGGGTTTTCACCGCTCAGGAAGAAGTGAGCTCCGTCGTAGCTGATTTGAGGCCTCAAAGTATATTTCTTTGCAAACATTGGTATTGTTATTATTACATCATAAATAACTAACCAACCAACTGAAAAAGAAATACAGGACAAGTTCACACCGGCCGGAAAAAAATGGAATAGCTGACGCCGTGACTCGCGAGCTTCATCTCCGGCGGAACATTGATAAAAAAGTTTAAAACTCTAATCAGTCGCTATAGCTAAAAAAACTCTAATCTGTGAAGAGAGGAAAAATGCCCTCAAGAGATCATTTTTTTACAAATCAGAGATCGACCAAAAATATTATTATAACATATAATCATGGTTAACTTATTAGTAATCGTCGTCATCTATGTACGATCGGATGAGCATTGTGGCGCAGAGGCGAATTATACAGAGACGAGCGTGTTGTTGTTTCATCAACGAAGAGCATTTGGAAGTGAAGCTGTTCCGGGTTTTGGAATTAGGATTTTTCTTCGCCAGAAATCCAGCCATGGCTGATTTGATTTCGACTTTCGAGTGAAGGAATATTGATGAATCACCGTTCTATAAATATGAATTTGGATCTCATTAAAAAATCGAGTCTTTATTTTTTGGGGATTTGGAGAAAGCTTGTATGCCTGTACTTGGTCTAGTTCTCGCCTCAAACAAAAATTAGGGCTTTTGCGCGCGAGGTAATGTCGCCGTACAACGATGGAGTATCAAACACATATTTTTATCCTATCGATACAGAAGATTTTGTTTGAGAAAAAAAATCAACACTTAACTTCGGTTTCAAGTTAATCTTTTTTTCGTTACTTGTGTTCTTCTATTTTGTTGGAGAAGTAAGCTTCTTTTATGTTCAATGAATGTCAACAAGTTTATCAGAGTTTCCAGGAAGGTACGTTTATGAATTTCCTCTAATTCAAAAACTAAATATCCATCGATTGTCAGACAAGTGATATGGATAAACAGAACTAATCTTATGTAACTTTACGAGAAAGAAAGATCTTAGCTGTCATCTAGTTCCTGGACTCTGTTTTGTTCTTTACCAAAATGGCTAAAACATGCTTTACATGTTCTGCAATGTTTCTGAACACTGTCTTGGTAATGTAATAACTGCAAATATCATTAGAGGCTCAAATGAACTAGGGAGTCAACAATTCTATATACTGAACCAGACTGAACCGTATGTGACTTCAAGGTGATGCAACAAAGTCAATTTCTGCAGAATAGCAAGAAATGTTCATATGAGAATCAGAATGAATCTAGAAAATTTCAAAGAAGTGTCTGTGTGTGTGTGTGTGGATACGGACCTTTGGAGGAGTTTTCTTGTTCTAGAGGAGTTTCTGATGTGATGGAAGAGGAAGAGCGGCTAGTTGATTCCCGAGCTTCAAAAATCATTGCCACAACTTCTCTCATGGTTGGTCTACTAGCCGGAGAGTTGCTGGTGCAGAACAGTGCAATCTTTAGAACTAGAGACATCTCATGAACCGTTCTCTTATCATTCATATCCAGCCTCACATCAAACATTTCAATGGTCGGAACCATGTTACGGATTGATCTTCTAACCCAAGTGACTAGATCCCCTCCTTGCTCCAGCGGTTGCACCGGTGGCTTTCCTGTTATTAGCTCCAAAAGCACAACTCCAAAGCTATATATATCGCATTTCTCTGTCACCTTCATCGTGTAAGCATATTCTGAAAACACAGCAAAAACATGACTCAGATATAAACATGTGTGCGTGGGAGAAACAAACTTGCCATGTTTTTTAAACTCACCTGGAGCGATGTAGCCGTAAGAGCCAGCAACAGCTGACATGGACTTTGAGTAAGAGAGATCAATCAACTTAGCCAGGCCAAAATCTCCCACATGAGCCTGGAAGAGCTCATCAAGAAGAATGTTGTTCGATTTAATGTCGCGGTGAACTATCTGAGGTCTGCAATCATGGTGGAGGTAACACAGACCCTCTGCTGCACCGAGTGCGATTCTGTACCGAGCATTCCAATCCAACAAGCAGGTTTTCTCACCTCGCGCCTGAAGCTGTTCTCCGAGGCTTCCCTTGGACATGTACTCATACAAGAGAAGATTCGAGTTCTGGTGATAGCAGAAACCATACAGCTTCACGATATTACGGTGCCTTATCTTTCCAAGCGTTGATATCTCAGCTCTGAAGCTATTATCAGAACTAGCTCCTTCCCCTCGAGAGTTCAGCTTCTTAACAGCTATCACTTCACCATCTGACATTTCAGCTTTGTAGACCGTTCCACACGCTCCTCTCCCTAAAACCATGTCTTCAGAGAAGTTTCTGGTTGCATCAACAAGGCCTTGGTATGTGAAACCTTCTTTAGGGAAGTAGTAACTGTCCATGACATCCGGTTTTGTTTCATCCTCGAGAGCAACAAACGCTGGTTCTCGTCGCTTTATCGCCCAACAGATACCAAGAAAAGCTAGAAAAGAAACAGAGCCGATCACAATACAAGCGATTGTCAATACCTTTTGCCTCTGTGAACCGTTCATCAACCAGTTTAGCTTTGAATCAGAATGTGGGACAAGTAGTTCGCAGTGGCTTCTCTGTGGGCTACACAGACCGTGGTTTCCAGCAAAGTTCGATGAATCCATCCGCTGGAAGACTGGTGTGTCCGGTACCGTTCCCGCCAAGTTATTGTTTGAGATGTTGCAGATGAGGAGGCTCATGAGATTCCCAATTGATGCAGGGATCTCTCCTGAGAGCTTGTTGTCGTTGAGGTAAAGTATCTCCAACATCTGAAGGTTTCCTAAACTGTCTGGAATCGTGCCAGAGAGATTATTGTGACTGATGTTGAGGGAGATTTGCAGAGAGGTTAACTTACCGAGCTCAACAGGTATGTTTTCAGACAAGAGGTTGCCTCCTAGTTGTAACTCCGTGAGCCGAGTAAGATCTCCGAAGCTATGAGGAATTTCTCCAGTCAACCTGTTATCAGACATCTTCAAAATCTCTAGATTCACCAACTGACCAAGCTCTTGTGCTATGTACCCGGTGAACTTGTTGCCACTAAGGTCAAGCCTCTGGATAGTGACGCAGCTCCCCAACTCTCGAGGGATGTGACCTGTGAGCTGATTGGAGGAGATGTTCAAGCCAACAATCTTTGTGAGACTCCCAATCTCTGGAGGGATTTCACCAGTGAAATTGTTGTTAGCTAGACGCAGCCTCTCTAGATTCTTCAGCTTTCCAAGGTCTGCGGATATATTCCCTGATAACCAGTTTTGGTGAAGCTCTAACGCAGAGAGGTTCTGAAGATTGAACAACTCAACGGGAAGGGTTCCTGTTAGCCGGTTATCTCCTAGCATTAGCTTTGTCAGCGACTTGCAGGTTTTCAGATCGTCCGGGATGTTTCCTGATAACTTGTTTGAACCAAGACTCAGAAGTATCAGCTTCTGGAATCTGCAGAAGTGAGCAGGAATCGAACCAGAGAGAAAATTTGCAGACATGTCAAGAACAGAGAAGTTGCTGTAGAAACCGATAAGAGGAGGAATCGTCCCTTCGAGATGGTTGTCAAAGAGTTGCAGATCCACAAGGTAAGTCAAGAACTGAAGCTCTCGTGGGGTGGTACCGGTTAGTTTATTGATAGACAAGTCTAGCTTCTGCAACAGTGCCAATTCCCCAAGCTCCCTAGGAATTGGACCTCGAAGATTGTTCTCAAAAAGATGAAGTAACTGGAGATTTAGAATCCGACCAAACTCTCTTGGGATGAAACCCGTTAACTGATTCTCTGAAAAGTCTATCTCCATTGCATCTGTCAAGTTGCCGATTTCTCGAGGTATCTCTCCGCTCAACTGGTTCGTGTAAAGGTACAGCCTTTTCATCTTTGCTAGCTTCCCGATCTCTCTTGGAACTGATCCCGTGAAGTAGTTTTCGTGCAGCGCAAGCACCTCGAGACTGGTGATGTTTCCTACCGAAGGAGGTATCTCGCCGGACAAACGGTTTCGCCAGAGTATCAAATCGGTGAGATTTCTGAGCTTCTCGAGCTCCGTAGGGAGAGAGCCCTCAAGAAGATTCTCTGCTAATCCAAGTACCTTTAGGCTCTCGCATCCGCTGATTTCAGACGGAATCACACCCGAGAAGGCGTTCCGTCCTGCCCTAACGACCCTGAGCTGTCTCAACTTCCCTATGGAAGAAGGGATTGCACCTGTGAGATTGTTGCTGTAGATCACAAGCTCTTGGAGCGAGCTCAAGCTACCGATAAACCTAGGGATCGAACCGAAAAGATAATTCTCGCATAGATACAGCTTCTGAAGAGTGTTGATCATGGTAAGCTGAATTGGAATCACTCCATGGAGCCTATTTGTGCAGAGATCAAGAACCTCTAGGCTTCGACAGAGAGATAGATCTCGAGGGATTGGACCAGAGATGAAGTTGGTGGAGACATTCAATTTCCTTAAACTGTGAAGCTTGC